TGGATGTATGAGATCTACGAAGTTCCTCTGGGCATCAAACTCCAGGCAACTTTGGTGAATATTGGCTAAGTCCCTCAATAAGTGCGTGAATATTCCTTAAGTTCCTCTGGGCATCAAACTCCAGGCAACTATTGTGAATATTGGCTAAGTCCCTCAAGGTTATATCCTCTAAGTGCATCAACCTAAAATCTGCTAAGTCCACCTACAGGTATGCCTCTAAGTATACCTCTACCTAAAATCCACTCAGTCTCTCTACAGGTGTGTTGAATCTATCCCAAGATCCTCTAAGTACCTCTGGCTAAAATCCTCTAAGTCCCTCAATGGGTTTGTCGAATCTGCCTAAGATCCTCTAAGTATACCAGGGTAATATCCTCTAAGTCCCTCAATATGTGGGATGAAAATCTTCTAAGTCCATCAGATATATGCGTGAATATTCCTTAAGTTCCTCTGGGCATCAAACTCCAGGCAACTATTGTGAATATTGGCTAAGTCCCTCAATATATGCGAATAATCCTCTAGATTATATCCTCTAAGTGCATCTACCTAAAAATCTGCTAAGTCCATCTACAGGTGTGTCGAATCTGTCTCAAGATCCTCGAAATACCTCTGGGTATAATCCTCTAAGTCCCTCAATGGGTTTGTCGAATCTGCCTAAGATCCTCTAAGTATACCAGGGTAATATCCACTAAGTACCGCAGGTTAATTCCTCTTAAGTGCCTCTCAGTATTTGTAGAATCTGCCTAAGATCCTCTAGGTACATCAGGGTAAAATCATCTAAGTCCCTCAATATATGTGATGAAAATCTTCTAAGTCCATCAGATATATGCGTAGAATTAGTCTAAGTCCATCAAGTGTCAATCCCTGGAGGCACACAGGTCTTTCCTCCCTCAGTTCCAGCAAGAAAGTGCCCGCTGAGTCACCTGGTCGTCTCTATTTATACCCCAGACATGTATGTAACATGTACTAGGTTTTGCACACGAACCTAACAAGTGATTAATGGGCTGATGCAATACCTAGGCCCCTGGACAGGACAAGACTGGTGTACAATTACTATGACGCAATCAGGATATGAATAGTGCAAAATAACTGGCTTCATTTAGAACTCACAATCTGTGCTATCTAATGTAACATCAATATATGTTTAGTATATTATTAACTAGATAAATGTATAAACTAAATAAATATAACATAAACCAATCATCATTGGTTTTAATCATGCCGAAATTGACCGAAAAAACGAGTAATTGAATGTAGGTCAAGATAGCTCTTCAAAAGTAAGATGAGAAAAATGTAAACAAATGAAAGCAAAAAGAAATCTCACAAAATCGAACAATTTACATGATTCTGCCTACTCCTTTAGTGTCACAAACATTCATGTAAGTATACTACTTGTCAACCAAACTGGAAAACACTTTCTCATTGTGTTAACTGTAAGAAAACTGATACAATGGCACAGAACTACAAAGAATCGAAAATTTGAAAAGTAAAAATTTGTTACAATATATTATCTTTTATTCCCGTAAATATATTACCATTTTTCGATGAAAGGATGAAAATTCTGGTAATTATAAAGATATTGTATTTGATTCTTATTGAATCTTAAGATAACCTAAGCATATGCCGATTGCCGAACTTTGTTACAACCAAATATAACAAAAATGGAACGTTTATTTAAATGACAGATACATGATTGATAGGGTGAAGATTTTTCTATGGAAACGAGTGTCAATGCGTTCTGACACTTTACCACTTAACCTCTTGAGTCGCTAGATTAACGGCATACACAAATAAATGAACAGGGATATCATATCGAATAAACTACATTTCTAGCATTGATTTGAGTTCAAGACATACAAACCCGAGAATCTGCAAAATGGAATTAATGGTAAAACACAAACAAAACTAAATGTATGCTTTATCATTTTATTTACTCTAAATAGACTAAAAGCTTCATTTGTGGTGATTACGAGACTCAGAAAATAAAACAGTGCAGCCATTACGAGCTTTAGCAAACAATTGATATGAATTCATTAGGAACTGATTTATTATTGCAAAGTCATTAAAATAGAATCCTGTTCTGTTGTTCAAGTGGGCAGAAAATGGGTACAGTATTCAGATCGTAATATATGACATGACACTCGTCAATTCGTGACAAGATTTTTGAATGAGTAATCCTAATCGTTTACCGGCAGTGATGCAAATATTATATTATAAAACGCACATGATGCCACTTTCAAAAAAATATATGTTGCGTGAATCAATTCTAAAGTTCATTAGAAACGTAATGGATAAATCAGTATGAACTATAAATATAAATTGTACTGAATATGAACGACGCCAGCCATCCCTATAAATTGTAAATGATAAATACAGAGCCACACAAGTGTATAATTAAAGTTTAAAGTAATAATACCTGATGATACAGCCCATAAGCTGCCATCCCACCTCGTGTCATTCCACTGATCCCCTGTACAAAAGTCGTCTGCTGCATTCGAAAACGAGGCACGAATTAAATCTCAAAATTCAATCTAAAATTGATTTTTTATTACAAAAATTATTTCATAAAAATGATTTTTATTTTCTTAAATATATAATGCTGTTTGTTGTCTGTCCCTTTGTCATTTGCTCAGAAATTAACAAGTTAGCAAACCTCGCCAAATATAACACAATACAAACTAGTCATAATACAATTATTTCTTCATTACTTAAATCCTGATGTGAGCAGAAAGCTTCTGAAAACTAGTAGTCCCAAGAGTAGAAAATAAGGTAATTGTTTAATAAGTAATGCTGTCTGCTTTAGAATGATATTTTGTCTTGATCAGAATTATTTAATGCATAACATTTTAAAGCCTGGATGAAATTCTACAATTGTGGTATTTCTACATCACATAGAGGTATGTCGACGTCATTATTGTTCACTCCGTCCTTGCTTATTAACCACGGTTATGGGAAGTCCTCCATATATTACTTATATTATTTAACACACTTTCAACTTTTTCATTTTAAGAGCATGACCCATTTGCGTTTTTAGAATCACCAGACCAGGTAAAAATTGTCACATCCTCAAATTGTCAAATATGTCAAATTGCCTAACAGTTTTTAGGTATAGCAATTTTTTAGAAGGTGATGTTTTAATGACAGTTGTGTTACTCTAGAACAATTGAAGTAGACAGGTTAAGAGGTATCCTCTTTAAACACAACGCTAGCATCAATTTCTCTTAAACAAACTTGTTTAAAATTATTTCTACTAATGCATTTGGTTAGGGCACTCCTTCCAATACAGAATACAGATGAAGCACTTGACGGTAATGGCAGACCATCATTCACCATGTGCTACATGACAACTCTTGACTCGATCATCAGAGCCTGGAACATTAGTCAAAATCAAAAGAAAACTAAGATAGGTAATATGTTTACATGTTACCCTTTTCAAAAGTTTGACTTTGTTTGACTACACTCTTTCAATAATAAACAAGACATAAACATACAAAATGACAACTATCACAATCTGCCATTTGTTACACATGCTGAAAGCCGAACACCAAACCACCAAATGATGAACACCAACCGCCAAACACTAACCACAAAAAAGTTGGAGACCATAACAATATGTCAACACTTGTGGCTGTGACATAAAAAAAATTATGTCAACCTTATTGGCAATGTTCTTACCCTCATAAGTAGCTCGCAATTACTTCATGTTCAAAATCTTTTGATAAAATGATAACTGGACTTACTGGGTCAATGAGATCTGATCAGAATCATACTTAGAGTATAGTTATTCTTACTATTAGTAATTTGGGCATTAATTGACTTATTTTGGCATATTAGCCAATTTATACAAGGAGAGATTACAAGGACAATGAACCTCCCCCGGCCAAAAATTCCTTAAAAATCATGCAATTTTTCACCATTCTGCACACTTTTGAACTGATTTTGGCCATTTTGGGAAGAATATGGTGTCTATTTTATTGGGTTATTCTTTTATATACACTAAATTAAAATGCTTGCAAAATTAAACACAAATACCAAATTATTTTGAAAATATTTTCATATATTCTAAGACAAAAAAGCATCCTTCTCTTATTTTTCTATTCTGAGTATTTAACAAAAACCTTCTCCCATCATCTTTGTATGTAAAGACTAAAGAAAAACAAACAAACAACTCCCAAGATTATAAAACAAGAATAAACTGTTCTATATAAATAAATATCAACTGTATTGCCTTGCCTGTTTACCTTATAACATTTGTTTGGCAATTGGATTGCTTTTTGGCTCACCCCGTATCATAGATATGTACAGGGTGAGTCAAACTTATCAAGTCCCAAGACCAACTGACTTAATGTTAAATGAACCTCTATAAGTGGAACATCTCCCAAGTGGAACACTTTTTAGAGGAACCAAAGATGTTCCACTTAGACAGGTTTTACTGTACCTTAAAACACAAATCATCCAAATCAATCTACCTTAAATAAAAAAAATTATTCTTTGAACACTGTTTGAGGAGATTAAAACTGTCAAATTATAATTAATATTGTCAGATATTTTTATTTGGAATGAGCAATTGTGCATCTACCTGTATAACACTAATGTTTTACAGGTGAACAAGGGTGAACAGAAAACTGTTATAGAGGAGGAACAAGGGTGAACAATGGTCTGTGACAGTATTAAACCCATGTTCTCAAATGTAAACACCACACTGCACACCCATGTTCTCAAGGATGAATAGGGGAGTAAAAACTCCTCTTTTAGAGTTATCTCGTAGATGGTGAAGAAGGGTGAACATCTTTTCTCAATTCCTCTTCTTCCTCTTTTTCGTCATTTTAAACATGATTATAGTTCATAATGATACTTTTAATGCTTTATCATATCATGTTTAGTCTATTTTACAGTCCTAGAAAACATGGTGAAATAAATGGAAGGTTTACTTCAGGAGACTGGGTGTATATTTTAGTATTTGAAATAACAAGATGTTTGAGAAATTAACTATGTATGCTCACATTATACACAAGGTACCTCCATTACTGTCACATGTTGCATGCTGGGACTTCGTACCGAATAGTGGAATGATGGGATACCGTGGCATGCTGCACCTGAAAGATGAAGTTCAAATATTATTTCTAGTGAACCCCAAAAAGTTGAAAACTAAAACTAAAATACTCTTCACAATAAATATCCTACATACTGAATTAAAAACATGTATTAAGTATTCAATTTTCACCTATTTCGTGTTGGTTTTCAAGGTTGATAAACATTGTTTGAAACCACATTTCTGGATGTAATTTTAGTTGTAGATTTCAAATGCCATGTAAGTCGAGATTATTTCTACTCGCATCTTTTCTATTTCATTCATCTTTAAACCTGATTTTGCATCAAACAGTTTATTATTGAATCGGAATGAAATGTTCAGTTTTCTTTTTTTGCAGCTTTGAATGAACATAACATAATACAAAGATTAGCTTTGCCTTAGTCTGTCTCTTTTACTTATCTTGATTTCTCAAGATCAGATAAGTAAAAAATACCGACTTGGGCAAGGCTCAGAGGGGGAGAAACACCAGGGTTCAAAGATGACATACGCTTATAATGTAAATCTGTACTGAGATAACATCGTCGCTGATTGGTCAAAAGTCGACAAACAAATGATGTCATCAATGGCGGTTTAAAAATTTTCGAAATATGCTTCGAATAATATTATCTTCATTTCTGGCGTGTTAACCAATATCATAGCTTCTCATTTCACATCAAGATAAAGAAAGGTGTACGGAATATGCCTATATCAATTAAAACATCCAATCGAAGTGTAGTATTTGATAACTAGCCAATGAAAATTCGAACGAACGAAGGTGGTAAGCAAGAGAGGTAATTATGTCTGTCATCTTTAAACTCTGGGGCTTTCCCTCCTCTTGGCAAGGCTATACAAAGATATACTTTATTCTTACATGTACATGTTAATGTAAGTATAGAATATTGAAATGCTGGGATTGAAATTGGAAAACTATGTATGATACATGTATTTGTTATTCCCCTTTTCAATAATATACATGTAACACATAGTATGTAGTATGCAATAACTGTTATATAACACATCAAATGTAGTATACTACCATATGTTCCATTTACTGTTGCAGCTACTAATGCCCCTACAAATTTTGGATAATATCTTATAATTTTCTTCAAAGCATCAATTGCTGCGGCATCGGGGGCCATGCCTTGACGCATATTTTCAACCGTCTGGTGGCTGAAAATGAGAAATGGAATAAATAGTACATTGGCATGGGATCAGAAATCACAAGGAAAACGCTAGAAAATCACTGAATTAATATGATTACATTATACTTTCCACTAGCATTAAAGTTATGTCACCATACAATTCATAACAGACACCAAATGCCAAACACCAAATGCCAACAACTGAACACCAAAAAAAGTTGGAGACTATGTATGTCACCACTTATAAGTTATGAACAATATCTGGTAAAAATACAATACATTGGTATTATTCAACTTTTTTAATGATTATTAACTTTATTAATAAATAAATGGATTAACAAATTATTCATGGAAAAGTTTAACTGCAAAAAGTCTTACCTTGGAAGAAATCTCATCATGACATCCCCATCGCCAGTACCTGCAGCGCCCCCTACATCGTTATCAACATAAGCCCCAGCGCCAGCTATAGGGGAATCTCCAACTCTCCTGAAACAATATGCAAACTTTAAAAATACATACACAGTATATGTTTATTCATTTTAAATATACACTGTTGATTTCATAGAGTACGTGATTCCATTAAACTGTTGTACTTACAACAAAATACAGTATGTACAAATTGCCAGATCAAAACATACAGAGCAAAACTTCTTGTAAAAATGAACATCTCTGAAAGTGGAACACCTCAATAAGGGGAACATTTGCTCCTCTACAATGTTGAAAAGCGATTGAGGAGCAACTTTTGTAATACATGATATTGATACAAATAAAGTGAGTGAATGAATAAATAAAAAAGGGGGAACATTTTTTCAGGTACAGCAACCAATGGAGTTAATCTACATAAACCTCTATAAATGGAACACCTCCCAAGTGGAACACTTTTGAGGTACATTTGTCCTAGTTTCTGCGGAGCTTTACAAAGTTAGTATCTGAGAACAAGGGGAAATAATATGAGAACTTAACATCTATTGTAATTATATCTCAGGAGTCAGAGTCCACTGCCATCTATAGAATAATATTTATGTACAACATGGTATTGTATGTGCATGGAAATTAACTTTTGTACAACCATAGAGTATTGAAACTGTTCAATGCAATGTTAGGTTAAAGATGTTGATTTGAACAATACTGTAATACTCAAACCTCTTTTTAGCTCTAAAATGCATATGGCCATATCACCTATTTGTAACTAGAAAATGGCAACTCCATTGAGTAGCAAATCCCAATGAACACTATATAAATCATCAATCTGTACAGTCACAATGTAATATTGACCATCTACTCTTACTTTCAATAAATATTTTAAATCATTGTAGTATCATGTAACCATACTTTCAAGATAACTTTAATTAATGGCGAATTTCTGCTCTAGTCAGCCATTTTGAATTTTCAGAGGCGCAAATCAGAAAAACAATGCTATAATTGTGATCTACTCTGGAATTCCTTCAATTTGAGTATAATATAGCCATACTTTTAAGAGATCAGAAAATAATTTGAAATCCCGCATTAGGCGGCCGTCACACCTCCTGCTATTTTTTTTTAAATTTTTAATATTTCCTTTATTTCATAATACATCATACAAACAGATACAGGGCCTATGCCGAAGCATTATTGGCCCTGTTGAAGTCGTTACAATATAAGTTAAAATAGGTCACAATGTAAAAAAAATGATAGATATAGAACATATTTATGAACATGAAAATAATCTTGAAAACATGAAGACAGGTCAGAGATATATGTATAAATTAATGAATATTGGACTATTTAACTTCCTTGACAATAGAGTGTAAAAACTCGGCTGTTAATTCAATAGCCTTTTTATTTGTAATTGTGTCAAGAGAAGGATCTGCAAAAAGTAGAAAGTCTACCCTGTCCTCCTGTTTTCTATTATTAAAAGAGTTTAAATTAAAGGATGGCAGTCCCTCTAGTTCTCTGTGAAAATTGAGTCTTTGAGTGTTAAAAAGAGGGCAATGAAGCAATAGGTGTTTGGTTGATTCAGTAGAGTGACCACATTTACATTTGGCATTTGGAATATTTTTGAAGTTATGTGTAAAAAGATGCTGCCTAAAAATGAGATCACATCTCGTTTTATTTAAGACAATTTCTTTATCTCTGGATAGGTTTAATCTTGGGGTTGTGAATTCTTTCTTTTTTTTCCTGCTATATTACTATCCTTGTGAATAATTTAGGTGGTGTCAATCAAAATGAAACTGTAAAATAATCAAAATACAGTAAAACCTGTCTATAAAGAACATTTCTAGCCAAGAAAAAAAAAAGATCATTGTTGGTAGGTATTCACTACAGAGAGCGAATTTATACAGAAGTCAGTAGAGTATGCGGAGGAAGGATGTCCACTAGAGACAGGTGTTCACTAGAGAGATGTGTTCACTAACATAGGCTTTACTGTATCTCCAAATATCATTCACTGAAAATTACATGAACCATATAATGCATAACTTCTGGGACAACCCTTGTATATTATACTGTTATTATTTTCAAAACATGCCAGGTTTAAGAAGGGGGTTGAAAGCATATTAGTTAGCTCACCCGGGTACTTTATGATTTAAGCCATTGGTGGTCACCCCTCCTGCTATATTACTGTCTTTGTCAATCACAAGCATCCCTTAAAGAAAACATAAAGTTCACATATGATTTAAGCCATTGGTGGTCACCCCTCCTGCTATATTACTGTCTTTGTCAATCACAAGCATCCCTGAAAGAAAACATAAAGTTCACATATGATTTAAGCCATTAGTGGTCACCCCTCCTGCTATATTACTGTCTTTGTCAATCACAAGCATCCCTGAAAGAAAACATAAAGTTCACATATGATTTAAGCCATTGGTGGTCACACCTCCTGCTATATTACTGTCTTTGTCAATAACAAGCATCCCTGAAAGAAAACATAAAGTTCACATATGATTTAAGCCATTGGTGGTCACACCTCCTGCTATATTACTGTCCTTGTCAATCACAAGCATCCCTGAAAGAAAACATAAAGTTCACATATGATTTAAGCCATTGGTGGTCACCCCTCCTGCTATATTACTGTCTTTGTCAATCACAAGCATCCCTGAAAGAAAACATAAAGTTTGCATATGATTTAAGCCATTGGTGGTCACACCTCCTGCTATATTACTGTCTTTGTCAATCACAAGCATCCCTGAAAGAAAACATAAAGTTCACATATGATTTAAGCCATTAGTGGTCACACCTCCTGCTATATTACTGTCTTTGTCAATCACAAGCATCCCTGAAAGAAACATAAAGTTCAAATATGATTTAAGCCATTGGTGGTCACACCTCCTGCTATATTACTGTCTTTGTCAATCACAAACATCCCTGAAAGAAAATATAAAGTTCACATATGATTTAAGCCATTGGGGGTCACCCCTCCTGCTATATTACTGTCTTTGTCAATCACAAGCATCCCTGAAAGAAAACATAAAGTTTGCATATGATTTAAGCCATTGATGGTCACCCCTCCTGCTATATTACTGTCTTTGTCAATCACAAGCATCCCTAAAAGAAAACATAAAGTTCACATATGAATTAAGCCATTGATGGTCACCCTCCTGCTATATTACTGTCTTTGTCAATCACAAACATCCCTGAAAGAAAACATAAAGTTCACATATGATTTAAGCCATTAGTGGTCACACCTCCTGCTATATTACTGTCTTTGTCAATCACAAACATCCCTGAAAGAAAACATAAAGTTCACATATGATTTAAGCCATTGGTGGTCACACCTCCTGCTATATTACTGTCTTTGTCAATCACAAGCATCCCTGAAAGAAAACATAAAGTTCACATATGATTTAAGCCATTGATGGTCACCCTCCTGCTATATTACTGTCTTTGTCAATCACAAGCATCCCTGAAAGAAAACAGAAAGTTCACATATGATTTAAGCCATCGGTGGTCACCCCCCCCCCCCCCCCCATGCAGAAGGGGCAGCGATTTTGACAAGATAAAAATTTCCTTATCCTGGGAGCAATAATGGCTGGTCCAATATGGTCAAAATTCTAATTAACAGGAATATGCATTTCAAAAGTTCCTACTCCCTGGGACAACATAGCTCGTCGTATTCTCGATCCTTCTCATGTGGGGCTCTCACGCAGACTTTTGAATGATGCATAATCAGAAAGGTCAGTTATTATTCAAACAACTCTTTTTCTAGGTCCAAATTTTGCAAAATCTCATTGACTTCCATGTTAAAAAAGCTTAAAATATGTTGTAGAAACATCTTACCTAAGGTATTGATGCTCTGTTAAGTTAAAATAATAAAGCACACAATTTGGCCCAATTAGCACCATTGGAAAGTTCACCTCTAATATCAACACTTTTTAAGTCCCAATTTTGCAAAATATCATTGACTTCCATGTTAAAAAAAAAACTTGTAAAAACATCTTACCTAAGGTATCATGATTGGTTCTTTTTATGTCTCTGCTATATCTGTTACTCAATTCATTTGTTTTACCATATTTAACTGCTTTATTTAATCTCTTTATTGGTTTATATGGTCCACATTGTTTGCTTGGGTCTGGACTCACATTCTAAAATGCAAAAATATTTTTCAATGACACAATATCTACTGAAATTAAAACCTATTGTGTACAACTTGAACAACCTATGGGCCTAGAGATTCAATGATCCTCTGTTAATTTGAAATAATACATGCACATAATCTGGTCCATTTTGCACCATTGGAAAGCTGGGAATGTCAGCTTTATAAATCTTAGGATGATCAGCCACACATCAGCACATGCAATGTAACCTATGGTCGATGCATTATGCTTTAGAACTAAGAGATGTAATAGTAACCATAATGACTACATGTGATATTCAAAAATACATTATCTTGTGATTTGTATTGAAAATAAGCTTGCAAAAAATGAAAATTCTACATAATTTAAAAAATGAACTTATCTTTTCTATTATGCTTACAACTTTTTAAAAATACAGTGAACATATTTTCTCAAACCCAAATTTGCTCTCTCCCATTGACTCACATTTAAACCCTTAAATGTGAACACCTGCTAATCTGAACACTTTTAGCCAGTCTCAGAGGTGTCCGGATAAGACAGGGTTTACTGTACATGACAGTTATGACTCTACCTGTCTGTAATTAGGTTGACACTCTTTATCCTGCCAATCCTTCCATTGCTGTTTAGAATGGTTGGTTGTGAGACTCTCTCTTGTGAATCCCATGTCCACTGCAAACTCTGTGGCTAAAACAATATGTAACGTAATCATGTTTTTTGACAGACATTGAAATATTGGCAGCTTTAAAAGTTGAATCAACCATTGCACTTTAGATAGCATCGTTTCAGAAGCATTTACCTAATTCCCCTACCAGTAGTGTATGTGTAGTGTACTGCATCACTGCTCTAGCGACTGATATTGCACTCTTAACACTGCGGATGGACCCTACAGCTCCTACATCATGTGTGATCCTACAACATACAACTTGACACAATCCACTATATACTTTACAGTTGCAGAGCTAGGATGTGACAACAAGTGGGCAGATTGGGTACATGTAAGACAAATTTGAGATAAAGATCATAATGCTACTATCTGACAGCTTTCTCAAAGTGATCTCAATATTGCTTTTTCAGTCATATTTTTCTGAGGCATAGGAACAGAAGTCCCTCACCTGCCTGGTACTTGGCTAAATCCATGCTTGTATTCATCTCAGGCATATATACATAAATAACAAGTCTTCTTATTTATAGATGTCACCCACAAACATGTTGATAATTATGATTTATACAGGATCCAAGAGGATTGGCTCCCAGAATGCGGCAATCTCAATATTCTTTTGTTTCATTTGGCAAACATACTAAGCCCTGGATATTTAAAACCCTTGAGCCCAATGTTGAAGGATGTTGTGATTGCGAAATTCAAAACTTCAAAACTAACAGTTGCCAAATTTTCACTTCAGATTTTAAATCGTGATTTTTGGTCTTGTTGCAAAACAAAAAAATTCAAAAGGTTGGGATTTTATGCCCATTTTATTAATAACATTTTCATTGTTGGAAAATATTGAGATTGCGTTCTGGGAGCCAATCCTCCTTGTTCAGGCCATGGTTTCACTGATAACATTATATTTTTTACATCCTGCCAAAATTCTCAGATCCTGCAAGCTTACCCATTACCCATCAAATTAACAATGAAGCATACACTTAGCATGCCCATGAAATTAACAATGAAAGCCTACCCATCATCAAACTAACAATGAAAGCATATACCCATCATCCAATTAACAATGCAATCATACCCATCCATGATCATCGCATCAAGTGTAGTTTCACCATGTTCATCAGGACTCCCTCCATAACCTACACTGCCATCACATTGTTGCACCTCACATACTGAACAGCCCTCTTCTATGGCATCTAATGCACTTCTATGCTCGTTGGCAATCACATCCCAAGCTGAAATAAATAAATTATTGTACTCGGGTAATATGGTTTTGATAAGATTACAGCAGCCTTGCCACTTGGGGTTCACTGTATATACATGTAAACCTTGGTGGGGATCCTCGGCGCACATGGGGTACCTTTTTGCCATAAATGGTATGGCAATGAACCCAGATTTTAGAGTCTTGAATTAGAATTAGAAGTCACACGATTGCTTGGATTTGCCATGGGCTTTCAACTAGATAATTGAAAGCCCATGCATTTGCCCGGGGGATTTGCTCAAGCAATTACATGTACAGTAGGCAGTATCAATACTCAACTTGAATATCGGTTAATATTCTGTATCGTTTTTAACCTCCAAAAACAGCAAAATCATGTTAGAAAGTAGTTTAAAGAAGATTGAATCGTCCCTTTTTTCCATTTTGTATTTTCCTTGTGTAGCTTGTCCTTGCTAATAAAAATATGAGCCTCCAAAATTTCAATTTCATTATGAGGACAATTTATATCGATAATAAATCCAAACCTTTTCCAGTAGCTGCTGTAAATGGCCAGGTATTTATGACGAGTGGAAGAACTCCATTTTGACAGTTAACAACGCCAATAATGAACGAAATGAGAACTAAAAATAAAATATTTGAATTTTGTAATTCAGCCATTTTGTGTATCACATGATCATATATCACGTGATCACATATTTTGTAAAATATTTCCATTTATTTGTAACAATATTTATTTATTGATCGTCAGCCAACTCGACTGCATAATACTTGAAATGCATGTACGATAATTAGATGTTCCGATAGTAATTATTTGTCACTTTTATATAGTAAGTAATAACTCTGTTATCCATCAGCCAGTCCATTATGGTCTAGTGGTTAGGATTCCTGGCTTTCACCCAGGCGGCCCGGGTTCGATTCCCGGTAATGGAACGCTTATTTTTGGCCATAAGAAGTAGATTCTTTGTTTTGCGTCCTGGCAAAATCCAAATCATGCAAGGCTGAAGGGTACAAGGAAAACAAACACAAACTCAAGAAAAACACAACTTGTTTGCTGAGAAACGTTTACATTTTATGGGCATAAAAGGGATGACATACCAATTTGCTGCGGTGATTACAAACACATATCTAGGCCTAAAGATTTTATACAATATATTCAAACATAGCTATTATTCAAGGGTAAAAAATAAGAAAATACACAATGTATGCCAAAGTAATCAACGACACTGTCAATTTTGACGCACGTCAAATTATCCGCCATTTCGTCTGATTCTAAATGAAAAATGCGATGCTACTTTCAGACCCTTGTGATTGCTATTTGGATGTGTTTGATTGTTTTTTCTGATTTACTCAAAATCGTGCAAGCAAGGGGACGCAAAACAAAGAATCTACTTCTTATGGCCTTATAATTAAAAGTAATGTTATACTGTACATATGCAAAATGTCATAGTTATATTAGTATATTATAGTTTGAAATTCTATACCGTTTGTTTTTCTTTGTTTGTTTGCAAAACTGTGATTATAAGTCATTAAAAAGATCATTATCGAATCCTCATTTCTTAGTTAAGCATTTTATAATTGCCTTGAAATAATGGAATTGTTTTCGTTTATCAAGTCTTTCTTGCCAAAAAGTAAGGAAGCTGTCTTTGTTTTTACTGTTTCATATTTGATCTTTTTGAATTAGTCTTTTTTAACAAAATAAATACTCGAAAAAGATTTTGATTAGTATTTGATATGTCTCTGCTTTCGAGATTTTTATTTATTCACTTACCAATAGCAAAAAAGTATTAATTGCCTTACAAATCTGTACTAATTACATAACAGTCAGCCAGTCCATTATGGTCTAGTGGTTAGGATTCCTGGCTTTCACCCAGGCGGCCCGGGTTCGATTCCCGGTAATGGAACGCTTATTTTTGTATCCTGCAAATAATGTCAATTATTTAATATTTCATTACACAGATGAGCGGTTTATTTTTTACATCAATACCGCAAAATAGATCAATGATTGCCTGCAAAGCACTAATACTGTGAAATGGTGATTTAAGTTTTGTACCCTGCGTGCAGAGTCTAGTCAACGATGACGTCAGACGGAATGACCATATAAAGAACGTCGGTCAAATTTGGCCGACGAACACTGATTGGCGCGGTGAGTTCACAGGTTTATTTTAGTTTGAAAGAGTGAAGACGAAGCTCTCTTTTAAGAAGTGAAGTCAAACGAATGCAAAGGGTATAAGTTTTGTAAATCAGAAAGCAAATCTTAATCATTGTGAAATATGTTTATTTGCATGCTTGCTTGCAGGTTTGTTTATTTGTTTGTTTGATTATTTTTCAGTCAAACCGTCTCCAGTGTGGTTCCTTGATAAGTCATTAAAACATCACTCAGTTATCGTATTTGTGTCATGATAATTCTGTTGAAACAGAAATACGTTTTCTATCATTGCAATGAATAAATATGATGATCTAAGAAAAACATACTTTGATGAAGTAAATTTTCAAGATTTGGACTGAATTTCGTTTTCCCGTTAGATTTTTCTATTGAAATTGCTTTCGAGCGAGGAAGGCAAAACATTGAATTCATTTATTTCATATCATAATTAACTTCCATGTATTAATTTTGTATTGTTAATTGTAACATTATATAATTGTTACAAAATGTTTCCCTATTTTGTTGAATTGTAAGACTGACCACTATAAATAAATGAATAAACTAAACTAAACTAATTTATCCTTGAAAATATTGGAACTTTTTTCGTAATGAATGGTAGAATGTCTTGAAATTCTGGAATAAGATATTATCATTATCGCAAAAATTTATCAATTTCGTGTTAATTCTGCACTAACTATGTAACTGTCAGCCAGTCCATTATGGTCTAGTGGTTAGGATTCCTGGCTTTCACCCAGGCGGCCCGGGTTCGATTCCCGGTAATGGAACGCTTATTTTTATTTCTTGCAAATTTTTTGTTTTCTCTGTAATTAGATATTCGGATCAGAATATTTAGTGACAGAGTAAACAAATCTTTTTTACATCAATAAAGCAGTAACGTGGAGATGTAGTAATTTAGTTTAAATAATTATAATGCCCGTTTTTCAGCGAAAAGAAAACTGGTACAATATCTGGAATTCGGCCTCGAATATGAAATGTCGTGTAATTTTCTGAAGATTTTTAGAGAAATGTAATAATAATTGGAATTAGATATAATTGGACAAAATGATGGTATATAACTTAGGAAAGCTGGAAAAGTTGATGTCACTTTCTGAACTTTCTGATTCATATGTACATTACTAACACGGTATATATCCTCGTTTGAAGAGCGAATCGCGAAAAGAATTGAGATCAATACTGTAGACATTAAAGTGGCTCATCAATGCTATGAATATTTTAACAAAACATGCCATTGAACAAAATAAAGACTTTTTGCAACCTTGTCTTTCCAATTCCTTGATTCAATATATGTATATCATAAAAAAAGAATAAAAATGTTTTTGATTTGTCAAAATGTCATGTTTTTTGTTATACTGACCCCTAAACTTACATGTTGTTTTCTAAATGCATGAGTCATTTTTTCCCAGCGTAATTGGTAATATTGTATTTGAACAAAAGAAACTTTGTATTATGTATACTATTTAATTGACTGTATGAGTGATTTGTTTGTTCCTTTTTTCATAGTATACGCAATGAGCACCTGAATGAAATGTTGCACCTGAAATATATACTGCCCATGCAGAGTGCAAGGTAAAGAAATTAAACCACAATATCTTGAAGGTCAGGTTCACCGAGTAAATGTTCTGGTGAAAAAGATGGCATCACTTAGAAGTTAGAACGCATTACTCTTCTCGTACAAATGGATAATGAATGACAGTAAAGAATCGATGTTAATGAATTTTGATGCATCTCAAAAACGTCTATTAGCCACTTTATATATTCCATCAGACTTTCAAAAGGGAATATTTCACAGTTCAGCAAGTATGAGTTCTGGAGAAAATGAGGAAATCACTTATTCTTTAATTAACTTATTAACTTTCCAAGAACTGGCACGAGTAAGAAGCAAGTTGTTTATAAATCGTATATGCCACAAGCTATTCAGTACGCGGGCAATCGGTGTATGGAATGCCGAATTTAGTTCAATTCGGGATGTTCTAATTGGATTACAAGAAAGATACCTGATGTCTGATATATTTATAAATTTTCAATAAATCACGGTGATTTGTGATATCGAAGCCATAGCAACGGACTGCGACTTTTAATTTTCTACCGCAATCCAGCGTCAAAATGGTGAACAACTGGTTATGCTCTCCACTTACTATGTCAAGGGATTTTATTTGGTCAATGTTCAATTCGTTTTATAATTACGATACATAATGATATCAATAATAAGATGTTTGGTTGATGTTTTTATTGTTTTAATTCGAATGTTTAAATTATGTACTTTAAATATGTAATTGTCGCACTTGGACCTCAGGACCCATGTGCTACTGCTGTAAAAGTGTGTGCAAATAAATAAGTCCAGAAAATTGACAAGTCAAATTAATCTGCATGTTAAATAGCTTCCTTTCGGTGACGAAGAGATTACTTTGATCCATTTAGGTCATATGTTGAATGGAAATTGACCAGTAGTCAAAATTTGGTTAAAACAATGGCAAAGAATTTTGATTTTCACTTTTAAAGCTGCTTGTGTAATTTGACTTTGTATGCATTTGAATATGGACAAAAAGTTGTCTCCTCGTCACCGAAATGATATTATTTCTAACATGTACAATATCAGGATTTGACATTTTTATCAATAGACGGGTCGAAAATCGCCGCTGTTATTTCTTCATATATAATGATATTTATAATATAGTATAATGTTACTCCACTGACTTATCGACTGACGCTTTATTCGTACTCGATAAGCATGATCGAGCCACGTGTCAGTTGTTCAAGGTCATGCAGGTTGTAGAATCAGAAGTAGTTACAAATGAAGTATTTTCTTTCGTTTTGCTTAAGATTCCACTTGATTGTTTATATCACAGCTGCTGATTGTCACATTTTTTGGTTTGAACAAATTTTCAGAAAAAAACATATTAAAATAGCCAGATATTTTTCAAACAGGAGCTACCATTTAGAATCCTAGGTTCAAAGTATAGCCGTGATAGCACCTCTATTTATATATTTGTCAAACGACAGGAAAATACTATTTAGAATAAATGCATGCTTCCTATTTGGGAACAAATATATCAATATATAAGCAGTAAAACCTGTTGAAGTGAAACACCTTTGGTACCTCTAAAATGTTCCACTTGTGAGGTGTTCCACTTACGGAGGTTTGTCTAACATTAACTCAATTGGTCTTGGGACCCTGAAAAGTTTTCCACTTACAGAGTTGCTCCCCTTCTAGAGGTGTTCCACTTGACATGTTTCATTATATCATAATGTAAATATTTTATATACATATGCACAGTTCTTCTTATTGCAATTATGGTTGTTGTCTGAGTGGCCATTTTGAATGGAAGTTTGTCAATATGACATTTTGATTTTATTTTTACAATATGAAGATATGGGAAAAGAATGGGGCCAAACATTACAATTAGCAAAGGCAGGTATCCTCTGTATAAGAAAAGCTTAAACACATTTGGACGTGATCGCAAATCTTTATTACGTACGGACAACCTAGCCTTTATCATTTTAACTATCACACGAAGAAGATGAGAAAGGAATGGGGTCAAACATAAGCAAGTTGAAGGTATCCTTTGCATAAGTTAAACCTAAAATATTTGGGCGTGATCGCAAATCTCTTTTCAGTGCGTACGGTACAACCTAACCTAGTTCTGGTGGTTTTAGTGGTTATGGAATAAAGCACTAGAAAACAGGAAGATTTGATTGAAATTGGTTTGCGTTCGTTGTTTCCAGGTAGTTTATTTTACTTACCAGAATCGCTGATTTGATGAACTAGTACATCATCAAGGGGTGGTCTCATAGTAACTCCCGGTAGTAACTACATGTTTATCAAGGCTATCGGGGCTTTTAAGTTAAATATTTAGTTTGATATTTTTACTTCGAAAATTGTGTAAAACGTAAATTGAGTTCACTTTTCAGGAGCGGGACCGGGATGGATACAGCGTGTATCCCGGACCTTGGCGATAGATCCTAGATACACTATTCCCGCCCAACCTAAGTAGGTATGGGATTCAATATAAAATATTATCGTATGATCTGTAAGATGAAGCCCTCTGATTGGTCAGTTCTTGTGCTGTACCAATCTCTGTACCAATCTCTTGATATTCTGTATTGGCACTCGACTTCGTCTCGCACCAATACAGAATTTCTCGAGCAAAGTATATCCTGTATTGCACTTCAAATCATTCAATAACTTATAAGGTATGTGCTCCATTACCCTGTGCCGACAAGAGACTTGTGCAAAAGGATGCGGATTGCGGATGAAGCTCCTTTGCAAATGAGCAATATCAAACTAATGGAAATGATCTCCCTGGGTATTATTGCGGAATACTGCCCCGCTCTCAATTCACTTTTCCAGGGACATAATTACAATTATTTCGGCAAAGTAAACAGTTCAAACTGGAGAACTAATCCACAGAGGATCATAATTCTACACGTTCACGTACAAGTTTTTTAAACGTGTATCTTGACCTCCCTATTATCCCGCGTAATACGTATATCATCAACTCATCAACCCATTAGGTTGTGGTAACTATAGGATGAAAAACACATTATAATTCCATTATCACACCCGTCTGTGTAAACACCTAAAATTCAGCCAAAGGAAACAGATTGGACTTCAATACACAATTGCAAGTACGAGAAAAACCAATATAAGTGAAATCCTCGAGGTACCTAATACCAAAGATAAGATACAATAACTCGGTAATTAAATTGATATTGTCTTGAATGTTCATATCTTATCAGATTTTTTATTTCAATTTTTCATACATATAATCATAAACAAGACTTGGCCACTTCAGTCATACTGACAAGGAGTTCCTATATTGGTGCAACGTTCAGGTGCAACTTTTGGTGCAACCCCCTAAGGACCTACTCTCTAAGCCAATAACTTGAAGTGGTTTAGTCACGTGACAGTGACGGAGAGATAAGTAAAGAATTTGGCAAGTATTTCTGATCGTGAAAACTCAGATGAGACTCAGAATAAACATAGCGAGCAGAGAGAATAGCTGAATATATTTGTTGAGCGCAAACTGCAGTAGTTTACTTTTCCGAAAATAGATTCTAAGCTGACCTGCAAATCGGGTAATATTTGGTAGTTAAAACAATATATACACAAGAAGTTATAAAATTACTGAAGAACAATCAAAGAGTAGCATACACTTATTGTTGTATCATTGGACATCGTAGCTGAAGTGTCTAAAAAAGTCACTGTGGCTGTTGAGAAACCTATAAGTCCACGTAGTGGAGGACAACGTTTAGAGATGGTGAAGGAGAAACTCCCGTCCGTTAACATGATGAATACCAACCTCAAGGTTGTGGTGCTTGGCAGTGAAAATGTTGGAAAAACAGGTAAATTGATTTGATAATTTCTCAAAAAATCTCACCTTGTAATTTAATAGTTATATAATGTTGAACATGATTTTGAATAACATTGATAAAACAAAGCTATAAGTGGAGTAAAACTGCATTATGTCGACATCATCTAAAAGTTATGGTGAGACTATATGTATAATATATCGTTTATCCAATTATTCCCGGATCCAGTTAGCTTTGTGCATTCTAAACCCGGATTCTATATATGTTTATTCTTTGTTTAATATTAGATATGATATACGTGACTTACGTGAATTAGGCAAAGCCCTAAATTGAACATTACTAGTGTTTCAGCGAAACCATATTCAATTTTTCAAAATGAAATTAACATTCAATTTTTGTTCAATCATCATATTGCTTTATTTCGCCATAAACTAAAATCGAAAGTGGTCTGTAAAATGAATCATTAATCAGCTTTAAACACTGTAGACATGTTTGTTGTTTTGATTGTATATTTGATATTAATATATGACTATAAGAATGTCCGTGTTATCTCTAACACCTGATACGATGCTACCTGGGTTCTAAATATATTCATTGATAAAACATCGGAATGCCTGTCTCGTGAGTGACGGCTAATTTGTCGCATTTTTCGATTTCAAAACAGCATTATGACCTTAAGGGGTGGATTCAATAAATCTTTCAAATTCCTGAGGTATCTTAATGAATTAATTTTATTATGAGTTTGATTCATACTTCTTGTACATCCGTGGTCAGTCTGCCCATACATCAATAAACGATCATTGGAAAGATTATACTTATGCTGACAACATAAAACCGAATCCTTTGTTTTCGTTTTAGTGAGGTTTTGTATAACAACAAATCCTTGAAAATCATATAAACAAAAAATTATTGAAATGTTACTCTGTATTCCAGCTTTGTCAGTGAGATATTTGACCAAGCGTTTCATTGGAGAATACCAGTCTGATACAGGTAAGGCATTCTTGCTTGTTTGTTTGTTTATTTGTTTGTTTGTTTGTTCATTTATTCCTGAAATAAAGAATTATCAATGGATTTAAATGGGTTTAAATGTACTAAAAGAAGTTAGTAGATTAATACGTTATGAAATGGGGTGAACAAAGCTGGTTGCTTACGAACGAAAAGAAAACAATAGTCGAGGTGTACCCCTGTTCACATTTCAGAACATTCATCATGGTAAACCCATATACAATCCCTTTCTGTGAATTATAATCTCTAACTAGTCATTTAAGAATGAAATATAAATGTAAACATATACAAATTAGCCCATAGTGTCGATTTATCAATAAATCATGACATTTACATTGAAAGGCATTTCTTGAGAGACCTCAAAAAGTAAATAATGATATCAAGCAAGTTTTATTTGCACAGTCTCCCACCTTGTAAACTTCCAAGAACCAATGATTGGACAAGGAAACTAAATTCAAATTGCTTCTTATTGCAGGAACCTATCTTGATATCCAGTGAATTAGATTGAGTACATGTTAATTAAATGATGAAAGCGTAGATTAATCTGAATCCATTGACCAATCTAATAATATTATGTGTAACACTCGAGATATTGAAACATCTTAGGATCGTGGTATCATTCTGAGAACGATATCGTAAACAGTAAACAAAATCAGCTAGATTGACACTGGGACGTCTTGTGTTATAATTGCATCGCATATGTTATTACACCTGAAGTTAGTTATGTAATGTTATAATAAGATATACCTTTGATCAATGCCCTTGCATCTTTTCTGTCAAGCTAATAATAGGCAAAATGCAATAATGCATAAATTACACAAGCTATCAAATGTTAACGGAACAATAGTCATTCTGCAAATCGTGGTTCTGGTCAAATGGTCTTGGAGTTATAAGAAGCAATTTTGCGTTTGATCCAAACATTGCTACAAGGGAACAATCATAATGAATACAAAAGTTCTTATCAATCATTCTGCACCTGAGTAAATTAAAGAGTGAAGATATTGAACCAGATACCCAGTAATCACGATGTACGTCGTTACTTTGAACTAACTAAAAAGAGCTTAATTTAATATGCTGCCTGGCATAAAAGAACACTTCCGAGTCAGAGAAATGTTAAAATAGTTTGATTTTGCCTCTAAAAAGAGCTTCATTTAATATGCTGCCTGGCATAAAAGTACACTTCCGAGTCAGAGTAATGTTAAAATAGTTTGATTTTGCCTCTAAAAAGAGCTTCATTTAATATGCTGTCTGGCATAAAAGTACATTCCAGAGTTAGAGTAGTGTTAAAATAGTTTGATTTTGCCTCTAAAAAGAACTTCATTTAATATGCTGTCTGGCATAAAAGTACATTCCCAAGTCAAAGAAGTGTTAATACGTTGCTGTGTAACCCTGGTATGTAACTAATGCATTTGTACCAATCGTTTAGAGTCAACAAAAATATTGTGTATCACGAGAAATTAAACATTTATGATCCAAAACAAAAAGCAGACGGATTTTTGTTTATGGGTTATGGATGAGGAATGACGAACATAAGTCTCCTAATATTATAATGTAACAGGTCTAGTGTTCTACATAAGGAAAAAAAACCTCTGATATAAGCTACACAAGACATTAAACACTTCAATTTTTCCGCTTGGAATTTTTAATTGCAACACCATTGAATTTGATTAGGTTTTCTCACCACCGATTTAAAAAAAAGAATGAAGAGATCATGGGACCCCATATATATATTTTCTAATAATTGGTTTGTATTGTCTTCCAGATTCCTTGTATAACGCAAGCATAGAGTTAGATGACAGTCCAATCCAGCTCCAATTGCTAGACTGTACAGAGGTAAGAAACAGATTCTGTCATATTTTACTTATGTTGCCCATTGTGCATTCTTTAATTGTGTTTGTTTGTTTGTTTGTTTTGTCAGTTTCCTTGTTTGAAATTGGCCTTTCCTTATTGCTACACTATGTAGAGTATTAATAGCTATTGAGAAACTATTTTTAGTTTTCACTAGCTTAGAATTTTATCAACTACATTTAACTAATTATGGTTATATTGGTGACATTCTAAGCAATAATGTTTATCTAACCCCTTGAAATCTTGAGTATGTCATGTCGATCTCTAAAACAGTCAGGAGGTTCATTTACTCCCCTACAAAAATTTGCCAACACTGATTCGCAATTTAATAGCATGAAAAATCTGTTCATGGTTTTCTGTGTTTTTACGTTATATCAAAAATGACAAATAATTTGATTTCTATAAACATGTAGTCCCAGGGTCAAATGGGTGGACTCGCCGTTGTCAAATATTTGGCGAGAAGTGTATCTCTCACCACAGAAATGTAGACAAAACGACCATAAATAGCAGAAATGCCACTTGATTTCAATTTCGATGGTTTACAGGGAATCAATTTGAATTTAATTAAATAAAACAGACACAATGTACGTCATCATCTAAAAAATATTTTTATTGAATTTTTCCTCTCCGTCCCAGCTGAAAGCACTCGATTGCAGTTTATATAACCGTCTCTATTTTAGTAATGGAGCATTGTGACCGAATATTTTTAGAGTTTCTGCAAGTTCGTTCACTAAAATATCGAGGTACTCTCGGGCAAAGTACCAAGAGAAAAATAACATATTTACGGATCATTTACCTATTTCAAGTACTCAAACTATCCAGACATAACTTGTTCTTTGTTCAATTACTGATTACTGAAGTAAGTCACTGTCAAGATAACGTACATCTCTATTGATCTGAGTCTCACCTTATAAGTAGTATATATTATTTAGTAAATACAAAGAGGAAAATAAACATCTTTGCACATCCTTTTTACCTATTTCAAGTTCTCAACAAAACCGGGCACAACTTGTTGTCCAACAATTGCTTTTAGTAGTAGGTCAAGAAACTCTTGGCAATAAAATATAACTATTATCTCTACTCTCACCTCTATGAATTTACGAGTTTATTTGTTATTTTTTGTTTTAGCGTGTGTTCTATGTCTCGGGTATTCCTTTTGCATTTCATTCGGGGCATTGACATTCGTAAATACTAAAATAGATGTGTATTATTGTGTGCTTAGCTGTGGAGGCAATTTCGTTTAGAGGAATACCTGTATGGTATTTCAAGGCAAAGCAAACCTGTTTGCAATGATGGAAAGTTTCCAACATTTGTTTGCAAGAATTGCATCTGTTTTTGTTTTGTTCATTACCAAATGATTTCAAATCATGTAAGATTACTGGGGTATGATTTGTTTTGTGATAATTCACTCTTGTAGAAGTTTCGTTCGACCATGATACAAACACAACTTGCAGTTGTCGAAAAAGTTGTTTTAAATCAATGTCTGCGCATGCGCTTATTATTGAATATCGTGTTATAACCTACTCCTTCTGGAGAAATTTTCATTTTTTGGGAGACCGGCCGCACAAAATTGAGTACATATGTCCCTTGCTTTCGAGGGTTCTAACTCCAAAGAATTGGAACACGTGTACTGAAAATGTTGGTGAAATCTGTCAATCAAAGTTGTTTTTCAACATATTGCAAGCGGATATAAGAGGTTCCATTTTTTGATTCAAGGTCATATAAACATTTTGACATTCGTATTACCTGGTCGAGTATAAATTTACTATTAGAGTAGTGCCAGCTGTCATTGTATCAGGTGTCAACTCAACTAGTTTCCATGGAAATGAATCATTTTCTCGCAAATTCTCCAAATAAAGACTTAGGTTACATCAGCGTAATTGTTGCGTCACGTGGCATTGAAATAACAATCAAACAATAATAAAACAACAAATAAGCAAACTTTACAGACACAAAATTGTATTTATTTTCGTAGTAAGGCGGAAAAAACTCTCAATTTGGTCTTTAGTCTGCCAAAATTCTACAGAAACCTATTTTTAGATTTTTATAACTGTGAAACCTTTGTCCTATTAGCAGTATAATAATCCTTCTTGGCTTCAATTTTGCCCCACCAATTAGTGAATTAAATCGAATGTTGTTTTGGTGATGTTGTAAACTCACACCGGAATAGCCTGACTACGGTAAAGTCAGATACCGTTGTCACAAATGGCGGACATAACTGTCGCTTCAACTGTTTAATCACTTGGTCCTCATTTCATGGGATTTTATCGTCGTTAATTCTGTGCATGCATTAAGCTCTTGTGATAATGTATCATATGAAATCCCATTTTCGATCAAATTGGGTCGTGAATCGCCACAGTATAGCCTCTTCGATATCGTCAATGACAACGGAATCTGAATTTGAGTAATTTAAAAAGACAACGGCATATGGTAATTACAGTGTTTGTTGTCCCGTATCTCATTTTGATCGGTTAGATTAAAGACTTTATTTCGATGGCAGAACATTATAAACTGTACAATGAGTATTAAGACACTTTGATTGATTGTTGTTCCAAAGGAATTTAGTCTAGGTGCTCTATTAAATATACAGTTCATGAAAATCTAATTGAAGCGACGGTTATGCCCGCCATTTGTGACAACGGTATCTGACTTTACCGTAGTCAGGCTAATCCGGGGTGAAACTGAATATAATACAGAAAAACTGATACAAACATAAAGCTCATTACACTTACGCCCATAACAAGCCTTGAGTGTGTCACAAAGGACAATGAACCTTCACTTTGTTTTCTATTCCTAGTATGTTTTTATGCAATAAACACGTTTTACGCAGTGCAAGAAGTCTTCGATTGTTTATAAAGAAATAGACAGATTGGTAGAAAAAATCCTCACTGGCACCAACACCTTTCAACATTGAGCTATAATAGCGATATCACAATGAAGCCCTTCCAAAACAAACAACAAATCTGCCAGTTGACATCCTAAAATCACTCGGGGTAATTGTGAACTAGAAATGCAGATTAATCTACTCTTATTATCTAATTGAAAAAGTGCTGTTTTTCTCATTTTTCGATATGAATGATGTGTCTAAAGTATAAAAGTCCACGGACAGTTAGTCCATTTTGAAGAGATATGGCTCATCCGGCGCCTACATATTCAGGATCATTGGCTACAAACCGAACATTTGTTATCAGAGACATAAACACTAGAGAAGTTAATCGTTTATTAATTATAAACAATTATGTTTTGTTCGTATTTTCTCTGCATCAACCATAACTTGACAATACGAACGTTTCCACTTTTGATTTTTAATCGAAATATGTTTTATAAACATGTTTACAAAATAACAAAGGTTGGTAAATAACGAAGGAATACTATTCCGATGTTTTCCTTTTCGGAAACAATCATATTTACAGCAATAGTCGTAAATGTCACACTCAACTTAAGTGTCTCACTCAGGTTAAGTGTCACACTCAACTTAAGTGTCTCACTCGGGTTAAGGACAAACCTTTATGAAGTGGTAGCTAAGAGGTGTTTACTTCTACTGTAATGCAATTGTTGACAAAATTAACAGAGCACCTTCAACTTTTATTCTACAATTTTGATAAACGAGCTACTTGACGTGTCATTCCTTTAACAATTATATTCCATATACAGCGATCACGCTCTGTACAGTACATGCTTCTGTTATGAGAATCCCCCCTACTCCCTCAACCAAAACCTTAACTTCAGATCCAACCCCTAAGTATTTCGTTTGACATCATATCTCTGTCTCGTTCTCTTTGAAAGCAAGAAAGGAGGGGGATGATAACATGATGGATTGATTCACGACAAAAATATTGATTTCCATTGCTCGTGCCATTTGGGGGGGGGGCGTCCTTTATGGCAGACTCCGGACTCATACAAGTTCACATAGTCTTGCCAAAAGATTATTTATAACCCTTCCTCACCTACCCCCCCCCCCCATGTACTTCACCTTCCCTTATGTTGACAAGGTGAAGTACATGGGGTTGGCACATAGTCCTGAAGCAAGACATAAGTTCTCTGATTCAATATATTATACCATGGGCAGGATAGTTTCTAAATAGCAGAAAAAACAATGAAATCTAGTGCTGCCATCTTTTATTCAGATTTTAATTTGGTCTAGAGATCCATTCACTTACATGCTAAAATCTTGGAAAACTGGCTTAATTTCAAATTCAAATATGCCATTTAAAAGAAGGTAACGGAAGACATTAGAGGTTTAATATGCAAATCTCTTAAAATCTCACAAAAAACGAGGTTTAGCGAGATTTCAAAAGGTATATGGAAACAATACTTTGTCGCCAAAAAGTAGGAAAGCTGTTTTTAAATTTTCATATTTTGTTTTATTTCATGTTTAGTTAGGACAAAATAAATAAATACCCTTTGCTACGGAGAAACTTTCTGCGCAATGAATGGTAGATTCTCTTGAAATACTCGAATAAGATATTCATCAAGATGTTTTGAAAAATCATACCATCATCATCGCAAAAATTGACAATTTTGTGTTAAATCTGCACTAACTATGTGTCTGTTAGCCAGTCCATTATGGTCTAGTGGTTAGGATTCCTGGCTTTCACCCAGGCGGCCCGGGTTCGATTCCCGGTAATGGAACGCTTATTTTTTATTTCTTGTTTTCTCTGTTATATCTGTAATATAAAGCCCATGATTAGTAAATCACTAACCTGCGTTTTAAAGTTGTGATGAGTTATCTGGCGAACTTGAGTTTTGGCATTCATGGTATTTTACACTTATATTATGAACATATTTCACGTTTAGATTGCTATTCTTGGTTTGATCTTTTCCATTTTAAATCTGTCGATATAATGCAAACGAGTAAAAACAGATGCTATGGTTAAGCAACATTGCATTACCACAGTGATAAGAAAAATGAATGAGTGAATTACATACCAGACACATATAATGTAAATTGGTCTTATCACAGTAAGGCAGTTTTTTGTCTCTCCCTGCCCTATTTATAATCCTGGATATCTATTCGCTACTTTGCAATGTCGTAAAATGGATCAAATGTGCCCTATTTATAATTCAGGATATCTATTCGCCACTGGCAATGTCGTAAAAATGGATCAAATATAATTAGCAAATTGAAAAAGCCCAAAATAGAACAAAATGCACGTTAATCTTTTTTTTAAAAAACCTTTGTAAAAGATTGATTTCGCATCTCAAAAGAGGGCTTCTATGACTTAATGATTTCAGCTATGATCAATACCGATACAAAGCCTTATGTTTCGGTCAAAACGTATTGTAATAGACATGTTAGAAGAATGTAGAAGACATTGTCTCTAAATTTTTGGGATTCTGCAAATTCCTTTTCGTATTAAGTTGGCACTAATTGCGGAAGCAAGTTGTAGATTTTTGAGGAGAGCCTCTTGAATTCTGCAGTTATCAATGAACGCGGACATCTCGAAGTAACATATTTTGGTGCATGTTTTTGGTTTATTGTTGCGTTAAGGAAGTTAACTACATTCAAGCCACTGACCACTATGAACATTGCCCATTTAAGCCCCAGTTTATAAATATTGTCATTAAAATTATTTTTGCTGGATTGCCGTTATTATAAGTGTTAGGTGTAGGCTGGATTTGAAGTACACTGCCGCCTTTAATAAAATTCCATAAGCAACCCTCTTCAAGATAACCCAGTGAAACTTTCTTCAAAACATATTTATCAAGCATAAACCCCTAAACATCGCCTGCCTATCTTTTCTGTTGAAATGTTGAATCTTCGCGATCCTGTTCCCATCGAGAAACATATATATTCTGGAACTACTAGGTGTATAGGATTCATAGAAAAAACATTTTCAATTTGAAATATATGCCAATGGTGCACATTGTATCATCTGGTGATATCACCGGCGATGATTCAATGTAATTATTTAGGCTGTCTTCCAATTGTGATTACGCACTCATTCGGCGCCAGATTTTCGGCTCCGGCCTTACATGCGTTATCGAACCTTCGGAATAAATGAAAGTCCACATGTTTTATGTACTGAGACGTGACAATGGGCATAGTTCATTACGTTTACAGTTGACTTTTGTACGTCCGTAACATCAATTCTAGTATGTTTATGTGTTTGTTATTAAAACCATTTGTGGTTACATATGTCACTCATTCAAAGAAAAGTCGACAATTTGACTGAGATGTGATTTTGAGTTATGGTAGTATACACTGTAAACTGTAAGCTAGTTATGTCGATTCTAAGAGATCTTAAAAGTAAATATGTCTATTTTGTGTATTTCCAGATTGCAGAAATTGATGACGTTTTGGGTCGTGATCAGCAGCTCCAATGGGCGGACGCATTTATTGTAGTGTACGACATTTGCAACCGGGACTCTTTTCTCTCAGCCAGCAAAATCATAAAATCCATCCGCAGTGTACACTCTCATACTGACTCTCCCATCCTTCTCATAGGAAACAAACTTGATCTCCAACACAGACGTCAAACTGGCTTTGACGAGGGCCACGTAATGTCCTTGGACCAAACTTGTCAGTTTTACGAACTATCTGCAGCGGATGGATATCACACAGTGACTCACGCATTCAACAGTTTATTCCGCGAAGCAAAAGTGAACAAAAAAGCTTTAAAAATAAACAAATTTTTCAAAAGTAACACTGAAAAAAGACGGAACTCATTTGTGGCCAAAATTGGCGATATGTTTAGAAGATGACATTTCAAAGATCTTCAGAGTCTACATAACGTGCAGTATTAAAGTGACCATATATGGTCTATTTTTGTTTAATTATACATTCTTTCATGGGCATGTATATCTCAGACAATCATTTAAACCGAAGAAGCCCCCCGTAGCCGAGATTTTCTCAATTTTAGAATGGCTCTGAACAATCTCAGACTCGTCGTATGCGTTACTCAAAAATTGAATAAATCTCTGCATCTTGTGATTTTTCCATTTCATTAAAAAATGAACGTTTCCTTCAACTTTAATGTCCATATACATTGAAAGTAACTAAGAATGAGGTATGTTAAATGTATCATTGCTTCCGAATTGAAAAGTTATTATTTGTAGATCAAAATATCTGTTGTAGGTAAAATCAGAGATATATGTAAACATTCTGGTGTTTATTTCGGCCTTTGAATGCGATTAACCACAATAACTTCTGATATATATATATATTGTACATAAATTGGATCTTAGTTTTTTTTATTTTGGCATAAATTTTCATTTTGGATTACCAAGGTATAAAGTTTTCAAGATTGAAAATCAAACTGGTGAACGAGTATGATATACGATAAAATATATTGGTTGGTTGATCGTAAATGTTGCTACATTTTCCATCCATGATTCTACCTTTAATTTTATCTGTATTATGTTTTTCTATGACAAATGTGAAAGTATCACTGATCAAGAATATGACTGACATAATTGGTCAAATGCATGCGCATGCGTATCATTAGTAAAGCTCCCGTGGCATCGACATGCGCAGTCGTCAACACGCGTAATGTTTAACGTCACTACCCAGGGAATTTGTATTGGTAACATACGTCGTGCTTATGAGACCATTTATTTATTTGTATATATTTTGAAAAATACATTTTTATAAGCAAACGAACTTTGTTAGGTTAGTGTATATCTAAGAAGACACATGGGCGACAGCGAAAAAGAACACTGTCTTTCTTTCTATTCAACTGCCAATTCCTCATCGGCTGCAAGTAATATTTTTAATAAGGGTAGATATGTCATTTTTTATCCATTCTTATAACATTTCATACGGTTTTGTAGATTCACGATCGTTCCGTCTTACCCCATTTTCATTTTCAAGGTCAAGGTCATTCCAAGGCCAAAGGTCATTATCTAGGTATTTGGTGATTTTAGGTCATTGGGACTGTTGTGAACCTCTGTGACCCATGATTAAGTCAAAGTTATGCTACAAAAACACCGTCACGTGTGCTATTGAACTTAAAATAAAAGTATATGAAAAAACATCAAATCGGAGCATATTATTTAGATTTCCTTCAGATAATATCAACCGTTCCGTCTTACCCCACCTGTTCCGTCTTACTCCACGCCTGGTAAAGTTGACCCTGTTGACACGGGAGACGGTTTTGATATGAAATAGTCTTTATAGATAATATAAATTAATTTTAAAATCATTTTCAGTAGCTCTGCATTGTAAAATATTATAAACATTTTCAAGGAAACCAATGTTTAATGAACAGTAGTCTATCAAAGATAGGTGTAGATTTTCGTTCCGTCTTACCCCACTCTCCCCTACTCATGTGCACCTTCCCCCACACCATTAACATGTCAAGGCCAAAAAGAAAAAAGAACGCCTAATGTTTCAACCATCGATCTTTTGCTTTTTACACTAAGCAGTTTTAACCACATCATCGATTTCCATTCGTTTCATGTTCGGATGGCTTTTGAATTTTTGGGGTTACTTGATTAATTATTTGTCCTTTTATAGAAAAAATGTCAACATTGAACAATTCGGCAATTTGAAAACAAAACAATATGGTCAGTTAAAAGGGCATTTGAAATTAGCTTTTCGTCTATTTATACGTCATTAAGGCCTACATTTAATTGAATACAATCCCAATTTGAACTTTAGATTGCGCACAAACGAGAAAACTTTGACAACGTGAATGATCAAATTAATTCTCAGGACAATCACTTAATCACGAGGGGAAAGAGTACCCGTGTATATACAACCTACCACCGAGCAAAGACCCGAAGATGTCTGAAAATGTAGGGGGTTAGTTATAAACTTTTGTTTATATCTTGAATTTCTCAATATGAGAAACAGATAAAACACAGAATTGTGTGTAACTGATAAAGTTATTGTTCTAGGCACTCATGTTTGCAAAATAATGAGTACTTAGCGCAATGTTTACTATCCAATCGCTAAATTCAACTTTTAAATATTTGAATGATGATTTACATCTTGAATAAGTAACAACCATGGCTGTCTTTACTTCATTCGATTCAAAGATACAATAGGTGTAAATGTATCATATTTATTTCACTGCCATACGTTGCATAACATTGAAATCACCGGTGAAAGTTGAAAATGAAAGACCCGATTATGTCACGAGTACGATTATATAGGACCCGAAGCTACCACCGAGCTATTCCGACTTTACCGTGAGTAGAACCCGATGAGGTAGTGAGTAAGCTTTCGAATGAGCATATAATATCATGACGATATCACAAATATTCCTTTTTATTTATCATATACTCCTGGCACCGGGATATAATATAATATGATATAATTCCCGCAGCACTATACGTCAACGTCTGTTTCCGGCAAAGTTCTTTGAAACATTGAATTCATGCTTACACTTGAATCACCATAATTTCCTATGTGTCTATGGTAAGAGTGCAACCCAAAAACATTTAATTCTGCATTGCAAGCGCCATTCTACTCAAAGAACACAACTTGAAGAATCCCAAGCTTCACAAGCTTCATATCCTCGAAACGAAAATTACCGTGATCTTTCTTTGATAATACAATACCATAGTCAAAAACATTGTAAATCCATTTTTTGCCATTTAACTCAGGCACATTAACTTTAATACTCAGTAATGGATGGTGCTGACTGAAGTGGACCACAAAGTCATCCATCTCGTGTGATTTATAACTATAGTGGAAGCATTTGTACCGAGGACCTGAAATACAATGTTTCGATGTGCAGTGGTAACTGGTGATAGCTATATTTTTTTCAGTTTCATTTATTGTTCACAACAAAATGATTCACATGAATGATGCAGATTGTATGTTTATTATTTTTTCATCAGCACGTCATAAACTCGACGATATAATCGGATCTCAATAGATTTTACTCAAGTAATGTTCGGATTCTGAGATCCTTTACTCAAGATATTTTCGGATCTTTATAATATTACTCGTCGATCACATCGGGTCCGATGTCCGATAACCTCGGATCTTTTAGGACAAAGTTTAAGTGAAGATTTTGCTGTTCAAAAGTGCTATTTTGACCTAATATTTTGACACTTAATATATTATGCATATGCACATCCATTTACCGACCCAAGTATTCTTATGTATGGCTCATTATCAATTAAAGCAAGTATAAATGAGAAATACAAATCGAAAACCATTATACGTTTACCTTATCTCTTAATTTGGACATAAAAATATATTTCAACTATAATTCTAGGCCAATTGCGCCTGCTAGAACATCTTAGTAACAACTCTAACCATCCAAATGAATTGTTAGTGACATTATATTTATGACGTGCACGGACCTGGGGACAATTCGGAAAATACGGGCTGATTTCAGCTTTGAGCGTTAATCTCTGCCTTATTTAAAAAGCTAGCTATGTGTTTTATATATCATTTTGAAGTATTTTTTATTTGCATTTCAGTGAAATTATTTTTTCTTCAAAATTTTGATGGGATCCAACATATTTTTAAAGTTAAATATATCCCGACATCGTCAAATACGCTGTAAGACGTAACACTAAACACTTACAGGGCTCGTTGAAATTGGGATAACTTTTCAAATAATGATCAAAATCCCACTAAAATTTCACAATTTATTCAATGGAACATGTTCATTTATGACGTCACAATTGCTAAACGGCTACAGTTCAAATTATCATATATGAACGCTTTTAAAATTTTCAAAATTGTGTAAGGTTTTGAAGGCGAATGGGACGAGCAATAAGTTTCCCTTCATTTAACCTTCTAATTCAAGTCTGATTTGAAAAAAAATTAACTGCACAATATTGTCATGGCGAAATTTACAAAACAATAACCAGTTTGTTTATTTTGCAAATAATATTAAAATAAGAGCTGGTTTTCGAGACTTGAAAAAAATGTGACGCATCGATTTTTACCACAAATTCCATACATATCAATTTTTACCATCGCCCCAAGTGTATTTCTTGACCGTTTTTCAAAATCCAAAAACATTTTAGAAATATTGTCCTCGAGATCTTGCTACCCTGTGAATTTTGTCATGATTAGATAAGGATAAAGTATTTTATTTTTAGGTTGACTAAACTTGACAAAAATGTGACGCTTGTCGTTTTTGACGTTGTAAGGCTGTTTGCGCCCTATGCTGCTCATTGTGTTGTCTTGTTTTTTGACGCTAAATGTTACGCTAATTGTCCCCAGTTTCGTGCGACGTGTATTTACCTTTATTGTCCATTTTCCTAAGAGATGACATTATCAAACATTTGCTCGGCGGTATGTGCGTGTCTTGCTCGGCGGTAGGTTGTATATACACGGGTACTCTTTCCCCTCGTGTTAATACAGCATGTGTAGAGTAAAACGTCTTGTATTGTGCATTGTATTACTAAATGCCATACTTGGAGCGAACACTAAACGAGAACGTACTTCCTGTTCAAAACGGAAGCCCCCAAAGAATAAGACTCCGACTGACTTCAAAGTCTACAAAAAAACTTATACAGTTGTAGCCGATGGCTTTTTGGCTTCGCGTGCCGAACCATGGCCTGGAACATGGCAGAACTTCTGGGATGACTTTGAAAGTTCGGCAGTCACATATGGTAAACCTTGTTAAACCTCATTTTCTTTGCAAAACTGTTTATATTGAACATTATGATATTTGTTGACATAAATTTAATTTACCCTGGTTTCAAAACAGTTTCAAATTGTCTGAACTACAAGCAGATGAATTTATTTAAAATGCAAAAATGCAAAGGGTAGGCTATTATCTAACTTGTATTTTCGCCAAAAAATATAATCAAGGTGATGAAAAATACGAAATAGAAACTTGGAGTTATCTAAAAAATAACTTACATGGAAAATCGAAAAATAACTTACCGAATACTTCGTAAAATTAAGTATTAGTAATTAACAATTCAGTTTGATTAGCTTTCTGGTCACCCTGTTATTTTTGACTAATATAAAGGTCGAGAAGTTATCAGTTGGCTGAATGAGAGGTATGGTATAGACGCGAGTGCCCTCACAGACGAACAACTCGAGCATGGGGAAGAGGTCAATGAGGGTCTCGGGAGCTTCACATTTCGTCCGATGATTTTTGACAAGAACGTTCTAACTTTTAGCAGAAACCACTGGAAATACTGCGAGCTTGTTCCGAAACACAAGTATAGAGATGGCCTCGTATATGTTTCAAGCAAAAGAAACCTACACAAGTACAGGTAACGCTCATTATTCATTCATATTTTTTTAATCGAATAAAATGCATACAACGACAGGTCTGGATTTTGAAATTCCACGCACAAATAATGCATCATCTCATCCCCATGTTTTGTTTAATAGGATCCGAAAATGTAACGATACCTAAGGGAGCCTTCGTATTCAAGGGCGGGTACATATTTTACCCCGATGCTGAATGCGGTTCAAATGACACCCCAGAGTTGATCACGTTCGTCTCTAAGATGTATTATTTAATCGACAAGAATGGTTTCGGACAGATGGATTGTGACCTCTTCTCTGAAAAATATGGAGCTGGAAATCAGATCGGAGTGGAGGTTTTCTCTAGCTTCCTTACACCTCCAGTAACATACAGGCATTCCTCTGTTATATTCTTCCCTAGCAACAAAGGTGGTCAATGATTATTGTACTAGAGAGAGAAGCGCTTGTTTTTGAAAACGTGCACGTCGTTCAACATTGTGACCCCAGAGCATCGTTGTCCCAATGTTCCTCTCTGAACTGCGTTTATACGGGGACCCAATCGGGAAGGTTAAGTTACACGTTTTTAAGAGAAGCCTATACGCAAGCGTATAATTTCGACACCCGGGATTACTGTCCCGCTCTTAAATCACTTTACTAGGGACCTAATTAGAATTATTTTCCGTATACCTATAAATACTGAATCGGCCAAGCAATCAGTAAAAATGGGAAAACGAATCCACAGAGGACCATAATTCTACATTTTCACGAAAAAAATCAAAAATGTGTATCTTAATCTCCCTTATACTGTAAGCACTATATTTTGACTTTAACTCCAGTTCACACTCAATCGGGCCCCTAAGAGAAAAACAGTCCCCCTTTGCACATTTACGTTCTTCAAAACAATGACATAATATAGAGTTCTTATATGATATCTTCAATCTGATTTCTTCAGCTTCTCTCGTGCTATGTTGCAACGTACGTCCATTTAGTCTCCCTCCGCTCACTTCGTATACAGTATACGTAGACTGAGAAGCATAATAAATACGAAACTTGTGTGTGCTACGTAAGAGGAGGGAAACCCCAAGAACTTTGGAGATGGCTGACATAATTGCGTCTCTTGCTTACCACATTCGTTTGTCTGAATTTTCATCGGCTACTTTCTAAATACTACACTTTGTTGTGATGTTTAATCGATGTATACATATTCCGTCCCGGGGGTTCACTCCAAATTGGGTAAGTATGTCCAGCACGGCCAATTTTGACTTGGAGCATAAAAATGGAAATTGGCCAATCTGAGAGGGAAAAAATGGAAAATTGTCTAAGAAATAACCATTTTTAAGTCAAAATTAAGTTTTTCTACAAAAATATTGTATTATATTCATCAAATCAGTTGCCGAGCCCTAAGACAAATGACTAGAAAAAGTGGACGTTTTAGTCAATTTAATGATATTTTAGGAAGTTTAGTCCCAGTTGAACATATCTATGAAGTTGCAATATATCGACTTTTATAAGTCTCAGAGGAATGGGAACCTCCAAATGCATGCGCATGCGTATCATTAGTAAAGCTCCCAGAGGGGGAGAAACACCAGGGTTCAAAGATGACATACGCTTATAATGTAAATCTGTATTGAGATGACACGGTCGCTGATTGGTCAAAAGTCGACAAACAAATGACGTCATCAATGGCGGTTTCAAAATTTTCGAAATACGCTTCGAATAATATTATGTTCATTTCTGGCGTGTTTACCAATATCATAGCTTCTCATTTCACATCAAGATAAAGAAAGGTGTACGGAATATGCCTATATCAATTATAACATCCCATCGAAGTGTAGTATTTGATAACTAGCCGATGAAAATTCGAACGAACGAAGGTGGTAAGCAAGAGAGGTAATTATGTCTGTCATCTTGAAACTCTGGGGCTTTCCCTCCTCTTTAAAGCTCCCTTGGCATTGACATGCACAGTCGTCAACACGCGTAATGTTTGACGTCACTACCCAGGGAATTTGCATTGGTAACATACGTCGTGCTTATGAGACCATTTATTTATTTGTATATATTTTGAAAAATACATTTTTATAAACAAACGAACTTTGTTAGGTTAGTGTATATCTAAGAAGACACATGGGCGACAACGAAAAAGACTTGAACACTTTCTAGTCGAACGGCATCAACTAGGGGAGAACGGGGTAAGACGGAACGAGGGGTAAGACTGAACGATGGCTTTTAAACAGAAACTGTTAAAAAATGGTCGCTGAAGTTAAATTTTTGGAAAATATATCACGTAATCTTTCTATTCAACTGCCAATTCCTCATCGGCTGCAAGTAATATTTTTAATAAGGGTAGATATGTCATTTTTTATCCATTCATCCAAAGTTATATTACAAAAACACCGTCACGTGTGCTATTGAACTTAAAATAAAAGTATATGAAAAAACATCAAATCGGAGCATTTTATTTAGATTTCCTTCAGATAATATCAACCGTTCCATCTTACCCCACCTGTTCCGTCTTACTCCACGCCTGGTAAAGTTGATCCTGTTGACACGGGAGACGGTTTTGATATGAAATAGTCTTTATAGATAATATAAATTAATTTTAAAATCATTTTCAGTAGCTCTGCATTGTAAAACATTATAAACATTTTCAAGGAAACCAATGTTTAATGAACAGTATCCTATCAAAGATAGGTGTAGATTTTCGTTCCGTCTTACCCCACTCTCCCCTACTCATGTGCACCTTCCCCCACACCATAAACATGTCAAGGCCAAAAAGAAAAAGAACGCCTAATGTTTCAACCATCGATCTTTTGCTTTTTACACTTAGCAGTTTTAACCACATCATCGATTTCCATTCGTTTCATGCCAGGATGGCTTTTGAATTTTTTGGGTTACTTGATTAATTATTTGTCCTATTATAGAAAAAATGTCAACATTGAACAATTCGGCAATTTGAAAACAAAACAATATGGTCAGTTAAAAGGGCATTTGAAATTAGCCTTTCGTCTATTTATACATTAAGGCCTAACGAGAAAAGTTTGCAACGTGAATGATCAAATTGATTCTCAGGGCATTCACTTAATATGTGTAGAGTAAAACTTCTTGTATTGTGCATTTTATTACTAAATGCCATACTTGGAGCGCATACTAAACGAGAACGTGCTTCCTGTTCAAAACGGAAGCCCCCAAAGAATAAGACTCCGACTGACTTCAAAGTCTACAAAAAAACGTATACAGTTGTAGCCGATGGCTTTTTAGCGTCACGTGCCGAACCATGGCCTAAAACATGGCAGAACTTCTGGGACGACTTTGAAAGTTCGGCAGTCACATATGGTAAACCTTGTTTAAACCTCATTTTATTTGCAAAACTGTTTTATTGAACATTATGATATTTGTTGACATAGATTCAATTTACCCTGGTTTCAAAACAGTATCACATTGTCTGAACTACAAGCAGATGAATTTATTGAAAATGCAAAGCGTATTCTGTTATCTCACTTGTATTTTCGCCAAAAAATATAATCAAGGTGATGAAAAATACGAAATAGAAACTTGGAGTTATCTAAAAAAAATAACTTGTACATGGAAAATCGAAAAATAACTTACTATACCGAATACTTCGTAAAATTAAGTATTAGTAATTAGCAATTTAGTTTGATTATTTTTGACTAATATAAAGGTCGAGAAGTTATCAGTTGGCTGAATGAGAGGTATGGTATAGACGCGAGTGCCCTCACAGACAAACAACTCGGGAATGGGGAAGAGGTCAAAGTGGGTCTCGGGAGCTTCACATTTCGACCGATGATTTTTGACAAGAATGTTCTAAATTATAGACTTTTAGCAGAAACCACTGGAAATACTGCAAGATTGTTCCGAAACACAAGTATAGAGATGGCCTCGTATATGTTTCAAGCAAAAGAAACCTACACAAGTACAGGTAGCGCTCATTATTCATTCATATTTTTTTAATCTAATAGAATGCATACAACGACGGGTCTGGATTTTGAAATTCCACACACAAATAATACATCATCTCATCCCCATGTTTTGTTTAATAGGATCCGAAAATGTAACGATACCTAAGGGAGCCTTCGTATTCAAGGGCGGGTACATATTTTACCCCGATGCTGAATGCGGTTCAAATGACACCCCAGAGTTGATCACGTTCGTCTCTAAGATGTATTATTTAATCGACAATAATGGTTTCGGACAGATGGATTGTGACCTCTTCTCTGAAAAATATGGAGCTGGAAATCAGATTGGAATGGATGTTTTCTCTAGCTTCCTTACACCTCCAGTGACATACAGGCATTCCTCTGTTATATTCTTCCCTAGCAACAAAGGTGGTCAATGAGTTTCGTACTAGAGAGATACGCGTGTTTTAGAAAGCGTGGACGTTTAACATTCTGACCCTAGAACATCGTTGTCCCGATGTTCCTCTCTCAACTGGTTTATACGGGGACCTAATCGGGAAGGTTAAGTTACACGTTTTTAAGAAAAACCTATACGCAAGCGTATAATTTCGACACTCGGGATTACTGTCCCGCTCTTTATTCACTTTACTAGGGACCTAATTAGAATTATTTTCCGTATACCAATAAATACTGAATCGGCCAAGCAATCAGTAAAAATGGGAAAACTAATCCAAAGAGGACCATAATTCTACATTTTCACGAAAAAAACCAAAAACGTGTATCTTAATCTCCCTTATACTGTAAGCACTATATTTTGACTTTAACTCCAGTTCCCAGTCAATCGGGCCCCTAAGAGAAAAACAGTCCCCTTTTGCACATTTACGTTCTTCAAACCAATGACATAATATAGAGTACTTATATGATATCTTCAATCTGATTTCTTCAGCTTCTCTATGCTATTTTGCAACGTACGTCCATTTAGTCTCCCTCCGCTCACTTCGTATACAGTAGACTGAGAAGCATAATAAATACGAAAGTTGTGTGTGCTACGTAAGAGGAGGGAAACCCCAAAAACTATGGAGATGGCAGACATAATTGCGTCTCTTGCTTATCACATTCGTTTGTCTGAATTTCCATCGGCTACTTTCCAAATACTACACTCTGTTGTGATGTTTTAATCGATGAATACATATTCCGGCCCGGGGGTTCACTCCAAATTGGGTAAGTATTTGCAGCACGCCCAATTTTGACTTGGAGCATAAAAAATGGAAATTGGCCAATCTGAGAGGAAAAACATGGAAAATTGTCTAAGAAATAACCATTTTTAAGTAAAAATTAAGTTTTTCTACAAAAATATTGTATTATATTCATTAAATCAGTTGCCGAGCCCCAGGACAAATGACTAGAAAAAGTGGACATTTTAGTCAATTTAATGATATTTTAGGAAGTTTAGTCCCAGTTGAACATATCTATGAAGTTGCAATATATCGACTCTTATAAGTCTCAGAGGAATGGGAACCTCCAATCTTGAGAGGAAATTGACTTTGGAAAAAATGATCAAAAGGGGGGTATATGGGGCGGCACATAGGTATTAAGAAGTATATTGGAGTGAAAATTAACATAATATTATTATACGTATTTTGAAAATTTTGAAGCTGCCATTGATAACGTCATTTTTGGCAATTTTGACCAATCAGAGATGTACGAGGGTTGTCCCAGAAGTAATGCACTATATGTCTTCTCAACACAGGTTTACTTTGTAAGCGTATTTCTTTTGACTCTAATTGGGTTATTCCCCCTCTTATGCTACGTCATAGCATCAGTATGAGTATACAACAGATCTGGCAATTGAAAAGCCGTTCTCACGTATCACAACCGCATACATGTACCGCAGCATAATAAAACTATAAATCTAACATTTCGAATATTTAAATTATTAATCATTCCGTGACATCAAGACCCCTTATAGTTGGAACCCTCGCTTATTTGCATAGATTAGATAATCTTTGTATTTGTAATGGTTTTACTGGAAACAGAATATATAATACATAAATTAAAGTATATCAATGGCTAAAGCGTCATGTTTATCTCTTTTATGTATGCTACAATATGGGGGTTTAGTCCCTGATCTGGACCCTCTGAAAAAAAGTTCTGTTGTCCGGTATTTTCCCACATAAAATGATTGTACCGTTTGAAAGAACAGACTTCCCTCTTAAAGAAAACACCTCTTCTATTGATGTAAACAGGGGCAAAAGGCACCAAAACGGGGTTAGACAAGGTGGCATTCTGAAGTCTCACTTTCTTGTCATCACGATTCCAGGTAAACCATCAGACGGATTTACTTCAAATTTTCACACATGTTACATTGTAAGAAGTTCTAGAGCTGATTAACTTTGCGGCGGCCATCTTGCATTCTGGTGGCCATCTTGGAATTTTTTTCAGATAAATATTGTCATCGCGATTCCACAAAAACCACATAACAGATGTACTTCAAATGTTCACACATGTTACATGGTAAAAAGTCCTAGACCTCATTATTTTTTCTGTGGCCATCTTGCATTCTGGCAGCCATCTTGGAAGTTTTAAGATAAATCTTGTCATCACGATTTCAGGAAATCCAAACGGATTTACTTCAAATTTCCACACATGTTACATGGTAAGAAAATATAGAGGTGAATAACTTTTCGGCAGCCATCTTGCATTCTGGCGGCCATCTTGGGAATTTTGGGATAAATCTTGTCATCGTGATTTCAGGAAAACAACAACAGATTAACTTCAAATTTTCACACATGTTACATGGTATGAAGTTCTAGAGCTGATTAACTTTTCAGTGGCCATCTTGCATTCTGGCAGCCATTTTGGAAGGTTTATAGATAAATCTTGTAATCACGATTCCAGAAAAACCACTTCACAGTTTTACTTCGAGTTTTCACACATGTTACATGGTATGAAGTTCTAGAGCTGACTAACTTTTCGGTGGCCATGTTGCATTCCGTCGGCCATCTTGGAAGTTTTTAGATAAATCTTGTCATCACGATTCCATGAAAACCACGTAACAGTTTTACTTCAAATTTTCACACATGTTACATGGTAAGAAGTTATAGAGCTGATTAACTTTCCGATAGCCATCTTGCATTCTGGCGGCCATCTCGGAAGTTTGTAGATAAATCTTGTCATCACAATTCCAGAAAAACCACTTTACAGATTTGCTTCAAATTTTCACACTTTATACATTTACATTCACAATGGTCCCTTCCTGGTATATTTTTTTAGGTTTTATGACTGTTAAAATCTATAGTCTTGTTAAAGACCACTTTATAAACAGGTTTATTATTACTGGTGTAACTAACACAACGAAAAAAAATATAATTAATTTATTTGATTTTATATACAGGGTGTCCGGAAAGTAAAGATACAAATGCTCTAATTTCATTAGATTTACCTGTTGTGAGATGAAATTGCTACAGATTGTAGAATGACATTGTAACAATTTATCCTGAAACTGTCATGACAAATTGTTTCAAAATAAAAAGTTATGGTTGTTATGGTAACAGGAGTCGCTGGTATGTGGAGCAACGTCACAATTATGTTTTATAATTCCTTTCTCCTGTTCATATCATCTTGACGCTCCGTCGCCTGTTACAATTATGCATCAAATTATGTACCACAACAGCAAAGGGATTAGTACTGTAACATTATTTAATCGTTTGACATAAGTACTGTTGTCCAGTATTATGTATTTTCCACCTTTATCTAAACATTCTTGATGCATTTGACCTGAGATTCAAAGACCTGACAAAACCTTTGCTGTCAGTCTCAAAGACTGCTGATAACATTGGCTTCCAGCCGAGTCTCATTTTTATGTTGAACTTCTCACAAATATTGCTTTAACATATTCATTAATGTAGAAGTCCAACGGGACATTATCAGGGAAATATGGGCCATTGTACAAAAAAGGTAAATGTCGAGACATTCAATTGTAAGATTTGTTTTCTTTACTTTGTGCATTGGAGCATTGCCTGTGGAGGTGCACTATTGACTTTCCTATTAATCCAGGGATCCTTTTTCTGAGCACTTATATACCCCTTTTCTTTGATTATACTTGTGACATTACATAGTTCTGATATGTATCAATGATATCGTTATACTAAAGAGAATACTGTGGCAGCAAGAATACAATATTGAACAAAGCAAAAAACTGACAAGAAATACAATAATAAACACTATTTCAAATGGTTAGATTTTAGCAATTTATCACAATTTAGCGACATCCTGGAACTGCCCTCACCACTGTAACTATGACAACCATAACTTTAACACATTTAGACTATATGTTATAAAAGTTGGTAGATGTATTGTAATGTAGTTACTCTTCAATCTGTAGCGATTTCATTACAAAAAGACTAAATCTCTTAAAATTAGAATATTTGTATCTTCACTTTCCGGACACCCTGTAACATGAAATTATTTTTTCTTTTCGATAAAACATTGCTTATTAGAAATATATTTAGTTCTTCTATCACAAAGTTTATTTTGGTTCAGTAGATTTTTCTATACATTATTTTTATGTCACCAACACTAGTGATTGGGTGACATATTGTTATAGCTTCGAACGTTTATCTTGACACTGTTCAGTAGTTAATGTGTACTGTATACTTAACAAGGTGTGGTGACATTTTGCATGTTTCTGCATCGTCACTACTATTGAAAGCTTATGTTGATATTGTAGCAGTGTTTTTTAAGTTCTTTTTGTTGGTACAATTAGTCTCCAAACCCTATACTTATATCGATCTGACACACAGTTTTAGTGCAGGTTTAAGTGATTTTTGTTGATTATTAAACGCAAAGAGCACATGTGTCTCGAACTCGCAACATTGTGGATACAGAGCCCATTCACATAGTTTGACATGCTGGTGCTCTGAACCAGCTCGTTAGTTAATATCTGACTAAGAGACAGCTTGCTTTCCCGATGAAGAAACGTTATCTGCAGCTTTTATGAGTACTATAGTATCTACAACTATTTTTGATCTTATGAGTATTGGATATCATTATTTTCAATTTTTCTTCAACATGTATTTTAATGACTTCAGTATGAATGGAATGTCCCTCGGAGTTGTGGTCGTTGATGAGGAATTGGTCATTGAACGGTGTGGATGCTGTTTATTCCCATGTTAGATTATTGTCTTGGGATATTCAGGTTTGATTTTTGTTTGCCAGTTTTACACTTTACAGTTTGCTTTTCCCACTAGGTTGCTTTACACTTTTTTCCTTTCTCATTTGTCATTTTTGTTTATATTTAGTAAGGATATGATACGCAGGTCTCTCCTTCTGTGTGATCACCTGTTCAGAAGATAATTCAACTGCATGAAGAACATTTCGTTGACATGATGCACAGTGAAAGGTTTTTCACACATTTACATTTTCGTTTAAAAGGTGTTTTTAGCCCCATATTATATAATATTACATAATATTGTTTTTGTATTTGACTATACACATGTATGTTGTAAAATAATATGTATACATGTTATTTATTATTTGTGAAAAATTAATACAAGCAAATTGAGCCACCAACCGCATTGTTACATGTTGTTCTTTCTAATTGGGTAACGTAATAGTATCACATGACAGCAACGTGACATAAAAAAGAGCTTTAATTCCGTTATATACTCAGATCAAGGCCAATTTATTTAGCATACATTTCGCTCTCAAAAATCGCTGTGCAATAATGGATTTCAAAGAAATGTTTGACGCTTTCAATAATCTTTTTTCTTTTTGATGAAATGTAGTTATTTATTCTAAAAATCAATCGATGTCATACACAAAATGCATTTAAGTGGTATAAAGTACAGAAGCAGAGTAAAAATATGTATTTTAGAATATCACCAAGTGTTACCCCATTGTAGCGCCTCTTGCCCATGTTTCTATCAATATAAAACATGATATCATACACCAAATATGCATTTATGTCGAATTATGTGGTTTAAAATACAGAAAAATAGATAACATTCTCCTTAGAATACCACCTTGTGTAACCCCACTTTACTGTCTTTTGCCCCTGTTTATATCAATATAAAAGGTAGCATGTAACCTTCCTTGTAACATGTGTAAAAGTTTCAAGAAAATCAGTAAAGTGGTTTTCCTGGAATCACAATGACATGATTTATCCAAAAAACTTCCAAGATGGCCGCCAGAATGCAAGATGGCCACTGAAAGGTTAATTAGCTCTAGAACTTCTTACCATGTAATATGTGTGAAAATTTGAAGTAAATCCGTCTAATGGTTTACCTGGAAGCGTGATGACAAGAAAGTGTGACTTCAGAATACCACCTTGTCTAACCCCGTTTTGGTGCCTTTTGCCCCTGTTTACATCAATAGAAGAGGTGTTTTCTTTAAGAGGGAAGTCTGTTCTTTCAAACGGTACAATCATTTTATGTGGGAAAGTAAATCCGTTTGGTTTTCCTGAAATCGTGATGACAAGATTTATCTTTAAACTTCCAAGATGGCTGCCAGAATGCAAGATGGCCACCGAAAAAATAATGAGGTCTAGGACTTTTTACCATGTTACATGTGTGAACATTTGAAGTACATCTGTTAAGTGGTTTTTGTGGAATCGCGATGACAATATTTGTCTGAAAAAAATTCCAAGATGGCCACCAGAATGCAAGATGGCCGCCGCAAAGTTAATCAGCTCTAGAACTTCTTACCATGTAACATGTGTGAAAATTTGAAGTAAATCCGTCTAATGGTTTACCTGGAAGCGTGATGACGAGAAAGTGAGACTTCAGAATGCCACCTTGTCTAACCCCGTTTTGGTGCCTTTTGCCCCTGTTTACATCAATAGAAGAAGTGTTTTCTTTAAGAGGGAAGTCTGTTCTTTCAAACGGTACAATCATTTTATGTGGGAAAGTACCGGACAACAAAACCCCTTTTCTAGAGCCCTTTTGGAAATCAGATCGGGGACTAGTTGTTCACGATGACATATGCCCTGTTCATACATTAAGTTACCCTTTAACAATAGTGTTAGTATTGCATCCAAGTATTGCATCCATTTGGAGGATGATGTTCTATATAAGACTTAATTAAGTAAAGTAAATTCATATGTTACTGGATATCTACACTAGTTTACCATAACGCATCAGTTGAATGTCACGTGGTTGATTGAAGCTTCAAAGCACAAATAGGAGTGAAACATGAAAAGGTAAGAATACTGTTGGACATTCTTCAAAGAAAACCACGTTAATAACTTATAAAGATCATTGAATATGTTCTGTAATGCAAGGCAAAAGGCGAAATCAACCGAAATTCAACCGACCTTGAAATGTGATAACTAAGAGCTCTGACTATTTGTACGCTTTCGCATTAATGATGGATCCATCTTAGATATGAAATCATTTGGTATTTTCAGTTTAGCTGGAGTGTTTGTTTTCACACTTTCCTTGTTGAGGAGATTCGACGCCAACGAGGGAGAATGCTTCGTTGGAAAAATTATAGCCACGGAAGATGATGTGGCGGGTACGTGTACAAAAACATGTCCAGACGCATCCGGGAATACTGGCCGAGCAGGGTGTGATTTGGTAAGTTAAATAAACTGCTCTGGGGTAGACACATTACTGTTGTCTTCATAGATACAGTTGTCATCCCGATTTTGAAATTTGAACCACATTTACCATTGTCTTTTGAACAGTCCGATGGTAGAAACTCTAGGCTGAGTAGAATAAGACTTTGATTGACTGATGTACCAAACAAATTTAATCTGGATGCTGGGCTAAACATGCAGCTATTGAAAATCGAATCGAATACGAACCCCTGGCCTCCATTTGTGACAACAGTATCTGACTTTACTGTTGTCAGGGGGTACTGGTGTGTACGCTGCATATTGTAGCATTGGTCTGATTTTAGTTGTCGAATTGTCGCCAACATATGCAAGATTGGTCGAGCAGGTCTGAGAGATGTGACATCTGTGAATGCGACTGCTACAAGAATTGTAAAACAGGAGAAAAGTGCGAATCTGCTTCAGGAAATACAGTCACATATGTCTCGTGCGACAGTAAATGTTCAGGTACAGTAGGTTATCGCAAACAATTTCAGATGGATTCATTTATTATCTGAAGGAAAAGTATATACAGTGATAATTAAGTCAATCTGACTCGGAGATATTTAGCTAGCAATCAACAAACTTTTTCATGTCGAAAAAGTAATTTACGTCATGCGTTATTGAGAATTTAAACATACCAAGTGTATCTCAACCAATCAGCTAAGAGCAATTTGATAGTGCATTTTTTATCGGTATATGCAGATCGGTATATGCAGATTTTATTTTAATGAATTTAATGTTTTGATAATTAACTGACAGAGCAGTGCTAATAACGCAGATGCGAGTAGGAGGTGGCTCATTCGGGTCAGATAGCATGGCGGGTATAGTAGAAAGTTCCGTTTAACTTAAATGACATCGGTTTAAGTGGTTCAATTTCCATATAGCCTTTATGTATCTAATAGTTATGCTGATTAAAAAATGTCCAGTAAACGAAAATGTTATCTGTCGATTACAAGAAAAGATATTTCACTTTTTGTGACTGTAACATGGGGATTCAACCCGAACTAGAAATCACATTTTCAAAATAAATAAAATTTTCAAAATTGATAAATAATTTTCGAAACCATATTTCTAGATGTACTTTTACATGCAGATTTCAAATATGACATCACTTTGACTGAATTTTGAATATTAAGTGACGTAAATCAAGATTATTTCTACTCGCATCTAGTCTATTGCTAATATCAGAGTTGACGCTATGACGTGTCGCAAAAAGGTGGCGCATTTGTTTTTTAAGGGTATCGCGTGAATGTAACTTTGATTCCCCGGATTATAAGATAATATTCTAATTAAAGTTATATATCATTTTAAAGCTGTTTCGATGAAGTTTTTAGATCAACTACACTCCGTTCACGATTCTTGCGCGTTCTTTTTTAAAAAAGAGTTTTTTACCAAAACATCTGGCAAATATCCCCTGTTGACACGTTACATTTTTTAGACTCCAGATTGAAAATCTGGAGTCTATTGTTTTTGCCTGTTTTCTTATTATTAGACTCCAGATTGAAAATCTGGAGTCTATTGTTTTTGCCTGTTTTCTTTATTATTAGACTCCAGATTGAAAATCTGGAGTCTATTGTTTTTGCCTGTTTTCTTATTATTAGACTCCAGATGAAAATCTGGAGTCTATTGCTTTTGCCAGTTTTCTTATTAGACTCCAGATGTAAATCTGGAGTCTATTGTTTTCGTCAGTATTCTTATTCTTTATTCTTTATTATTATTCTTTATTATTCTTTCCCAGTTTTCTCGATAACCATAAGGCTTCCAATAAAGATCATTATTCAGTCAATTTATGTCCAGTATCTAGTTCCTCGGAAATTGGGTCAAATTTTTATATAGGTCAAAGGTCAAGAACTAGGTCAAATCTTACATTTTCAACATTCTGTCATTTATCTTCGTCGTTGTTAATCGTAACTCCTAAATCTTTTTTTCATCATGTAGCTTAGAAAAAGCCAAAGCAAAGATATGACATTAGATTTTTGATTACGCTTACCGATTTTGAAATATAGCGTCCAGAAAGTAGGTCAAAATGTAAAGTTCTCCAAATTTAACATCTGAGTTATGAATTAAGGGTAGAATTTACTCAGGAATCGGAATCTGCAAACCAAATTTGGATCGGACTTCCGGTTCGGAAGTTATGGCGTTTTGAAAGCTCAAAAATTGCTAAATTTGGTGCCCATGTTAAGTCAATGGGAAAAAAGATTTTTTTGAAGTCAAAAATACGAAATATAGACTGAGTTCAGCTAAATATAATGAAAGCTTTTAAAAGAATGGGACCTCAAAAGCCATCTAGCTTTAAAATTTGGACAACAAAATGCCTAGGTCAAAATCTAGGTCAAATTCAAAGTTTTTCCTTATTTTTGCGATTCTGACACTACAAATTAATTATATTCTTCGAAATTTTGTATACATGTAGCCAAGAGTGTGCTAATAGTGTTAGCCCTTTGCCGTCAGAAAGTATTTTGCCCCAGTTTTGAGATATGGTGTCCGAAAAGTAGGTCAAAATAAAAAGTTCTCCAAATAAACGTTTGAGTTATGAATTAAGAATAGAATTTTCTCAGAAATCCGAATCTGCAAACCAAATTTCGATCCGACTTCCGGTTCCGAAATTATGGCGTGTCCAAAAAGTAGGTCAAAATAAAAATTCGCCAAATTTAACGTATGATTTATGAATTAGAGGTAGAATTTTGTCAGGAATCCGAATCTTTAAATCAAATTTAGATCCGACTTCCGGTTCGGAAGTTATGGCGTTTTGAAATTTCGGAAAATCGATCTGATGGTATCCTGATGGAAAGTCAAGAGTAGAGAAGAAAATATTGAAAAATTCATTCATCCTTCCTATCTGATCCTATCCTATCCTTCCTATCTATCCTTCCTTCGTATCCTTTCCTTCCTATCCTCTCCTATCATATCCTTTCTTCCTATTCTGTTCTATCCTATCCTTCTTTCTCATTCTATCCTATCGTTCCTTCCCATTCTATCCTATCCTACCTTCCTATTTTATCCATCCATCTTATTCTGGATGACTCAGCTTATACTGGATGACTCGGCTTATTTTAGATGACTGGGCTTAAAAAAAGTCTAGATCTGGAGTCTGAAATTGAACTTCGTTCAATTTCCAAAGTCTAGTTATTATTATTCTTTCTTTCCGAACACTTTTTCTCAGCAACTAGAAGGACTAACTTAAATCTGCTAACATAGTCAACTAGGTAATGATATCTAGTTTCTGGGAAATTAGGTCAAATGTTTATCTAGGTCAAAGGTCAAGAACTAGGTCAAATCGTGGTTTTTCACTATTTTACAAGTTTTCTCAGTCGTCCTTCAGTATTTTCGCTCCGGTTTTTTTTCATCATGTTCCTTAGAAAAAGCTTATTGTGAATGGCAAACCGTTTTTCGATTACTCTTACCGATTTTGAGATATGGCGTCCGAAAAGTAGGTCAGAACATAAAAAGTTCTCTAAATTCAACGTGTGAATCATCAAATAAGTGTAGAATTATCTCAGGAATCCGAATCTGCAAACAAAATTTCGATCCGACTACCGGTTTGGAAGTAATGGCGTTTTGAAATCTCAAAAATCGCTAAATTTGGTGCCCATGTTAAGCCAATGGGAAAAAAGACTTTTTCGAAGTGTAAAATACAAGATATAGACTGAGTACAGCTTAACACAATGAATGCCTATAAAAGAAGGGGACCTCAAAAGCTACATAACTTCAAAATTTGGACACCAAAATGCCTAGGTCAAAATCTAGGTCAAATTCACAGCTTTTCCTTCTTTTTACGATTGTGACACTACACTTTAATTATTTGCTTCAACATTTTGTATACAGGTAGCAAAGAGTGTGCTAATAGTGTTAGCCTTTTGCCGTCAGAAAGTATTTTGACCCACTTTTGAGATATGGTGTCCGAAATGTAGGTCAAAATAAAAAGTTCTCCAAATTTAACATATAAGCTAT